GGGCTTACAGTGAAGAGGCATTCCCCCCGCCTCACAACACAAATGTTTAAGCAATTACTCCACGCAATCCCCCTGTACACAGAGAGAGAGAGAGAGAGAGAGAGAGAGAGAGAGAGAGAGAGAGAGAGAGAGAGAGAGAGAGAGAGAGAGAGAGAGAGAGAAAAGGAGAGAGAGAAAAAGAGAGAGAGAAAAAGAGAGAGAGAAAGTTGATCTGGGGGGCAGTTGAAGGGGATTTGCTGTAGGGTTCTGGGAGAAAACGTGTAAAGAAAGAGAGAAAAGGGGGTAACGAGAGAGAAAGAGAGAAGAAGATGGCTGGCATAGGGAACACTCAAGGGGGTCTAGAGTTCAAACGAGCCATCATCATCTCAGACAAACAAACACAAACAGACACCATTGCCTTGCCTGACCTGCGTCAATGCTGCATGTCCTATAATGAATGTCATATCGGAATAGCATTACAGAGCAGAATCACATTCTATGTTCCATTTATATTTATATTCCAATTCCACACCATTCCATCATTCCAAAGCTCTAGTCCTGTTTCATTCCATTCCTGTTCTCTAGATGGAAAGGCAGCTCAAGAGGGTAATAGCGGCAATAGGGGTAAGGGAGGATGGTGGTAGGGGAAGAGGTTGTGGAGAGGGGCTGGCAGACTATTTAAGGGGCAGTAAAATGAGAAAGTTGCAGCAAAGTTGCAAAACATCTCCAACATCTCTCACCCCTGGACACACACACACACACACACACACACACACACACACACAGCAGGGACCTTTCCCACTGTTAATTGGGATAATATAATATCCAATTATAGAAACATTTAGGAACGATTTGACTTAATCACAACTAAATACATTGAGTAAGTTCATTCTCATAGAGTCCTGTTCAGTCAGACAGTGGTCTTTAGGAAACCATAATAACCTGTTCTACCACTTCACATCACGTCAACCACAGTGTGTTCTGTTTCTCTCTCAGCGGCACTTTAAAACAGAGTTCCGTGGTCCTGGTTCCTACTGTCTGACGTCTATTTTACGGTCTGATCACGTTAACGATAAGTGTGTTAGGTGGACATGTTGCCGGTTGTTAACATATTACATTATTTTAAATATAGTAGGCCTAACCTAGCTGTCCCTTTGTGGACATGTTGGAGTTGTGTCCTCTCTAACTCCCTCTCTCTCTCTCTCTCGCTCTCTCTTTCTCTCTCTCTCTCTCTCTCTCTCTCTCTCTCTCTCAACACACTCTGGCAGAGTGGTTCTGTTAAAAAAAAAACGAATAACACACTAATGCACCATGATGGTAAGCACCGTTTTATACATTCTGGTCACACCCTTTAAAGTGTTAAATATGTTATGTAGCCTAATTGTCCAGTTTATTATAGGCAACACTTTTCCCTGATGCTATTACAGTGTGACAGTATTGGCATGTTATTGACATGTTATAGGGTATTCAGTGCTGTCAAGTAATTTCATTGGTTTACAGTATAGGCCGAATATGTTTTTGAAACTCACCTAGTAGCAGGCAGAAGAGGTCCAGTCCTGTCAACAGTTTCCTCTTAATGTTATCGCTGCCGTTGTTGTTCAATGAGGTCCCTCCGTTTCTGGTCTGTTGTGCCATGGCTTACTCGTACAAAATAGCCTACAGTTGCATGGAACAACTCCGACTCCAGTTAAAATTCAACCAGCGCTCCAAACAAACTAAATCACGTTATTTAGTCCGTCAAGGTTTAAAGCCAAGAAGAAGCGAATGTCACTCAGAAGCCAACTATGGGAAACGAACTTCCCAACTAAGGAGAGGTCCTGCAAACTTTGTATCAGCGCTGCAACGATGCGATGCCTCGTCTGTCCAAATATTTTACTTTAGAAACCGGACTTTTCTGCTTAAATCGTCTCTTCAGATCCTGGATTAAAACCTTTCGTCTGTCCGGTTCACGCTTTGGGATGGTAAACTACTGTAAAGGTGCTATGATGAACGAAGCCTGCTACTCTTTCCTCTCTCTCTCTCAGTCCGCTTCAAAGCCTGGCAGAGAATAGCGCTCTGAGCGCAGAGAGAGAGAGATGGTAGTTTTATCAACCCTTCCTCTTCTCCTCCTCCTTCCCCTCCTCTCTCTCTTTAAGTTCCCTCTCAGCAGCCTCAGGCTCAGCCCCTCTTCTCTTCTCTCTGCAAGGGCTCAGTAATCAGCTCCAGACCTACTGCTAGAAAACTTTCTCTGGACATGGATAAGAGCAGTCTGACACTGCTCCCAGCGGCGGGTACTGGGGACACAGAGCGCACCATGAGGTACTGGTCTCAGAGCATTTCGTGTTATTCTTTATGAAAATCCAGGACACTCATTTACATTTTAGCAGACGCTCTTATCCAGAGCGACTTACAGTTAGTGAGTGCGTACATTTTTCATACTGGCCCCCCATAGGAATCGAACCCACAACCCTGGCGTTATAAGCGCCATGCTCTACCAACTGAGCTACAGGAGGCCCTAATGAACAAGACCTTGTACTCACACTTAACTGGTCATTGAAAGTATGGGCATTCAATTTACAGAGTGTACCAAAGGGGACTTGAACCAGCAACCTTTTGTCTGTCAGTCCAACACCTCTCCTAAATGTCATTGCCAAAAGATCTGAACCTCTTGATGAGATTAGTGGTGGCTAACCTAGTCAAAAGTTCCTGATAGCCACTCTAGCACAGGTGGGATTGAAAATATTCATAAACGTGTGCAAAACAAACCTTATTCCAGATTTAGATCCTTGGGTCTTTTGCCCATTTATTAGCAGCAAAGATAGAAATACAGCAAAAATTCCATACAAGCACATTTCATAGTTCCAAGGTGTGGATGGTGAGCACGGTAACTGTATAGCAGAGAGATAGTTAGAGGACACAGCATTGTATCTCAAATCCAATACATTTTTATTCATCACATGCTTCGTAAACAACAGGTGTAGACTACAGTGAAATGCTTACTTACGGGCCCTTCCCAACAATGCAGAGAGAAAATAATAGAAAAGTAATAACACGTAATAATAAAAGTAATAATAAATACACAATGAGTAACGATAACTTGGCTATATACACGGGGTACCAGTACCGAGTCGATGTGCAGAGGTACGAGGTAATTGAGGTAGATATGTACATATAACTAGGAATAAAGTGACTAGGCAACAGGATAGATAATAAACAGCAGCAGCAGTGTACTTGATCAGTCAAAAAAAGTTAGTTAAAAAAGGGTAATACAGATAGTCCGGGTAGCTATTTGGTTAACTATTTAAATAACAATTTAGCAGTCTTATGGCTTGGGGGTAAGAAGCTGTTCAGGGTCCTGTTGGTTCCAGACCTGGTGCATCGGTACTGCTTGCTGTGCGGTAGCAGAGAGAACAGCCTATGACTTGGGTGGTTGGTGTCTTTGACAATGTTTAGGGCCTTCCTCTGATACAGCCTGGTATAGAAGTCCTGGTTGGCAGGAAGCTTGGCCCCAGTGATGTACTGGCCATAAGCACTACCCTCTGTAGCGCCTTGCAGTCAGATGCCAAGCAGTTGCCATACCAAGCGGTGATGCAGCCAGTCAAGATGCTCTCAGTGGTGCACCTGTATAACTTTTTGAGGATCTGAGGGCCCATGCCAAATCTTTTCAGCCTCCTGTCTGTCCTATCGTGTGTGTGAGAGCATGGGCAGCGCAATTGAGGCCATCTCCATTTTGAAGTAGTCAATTTTCTTCTTCTACTACTTCTATGAGTTGGTAAACAAACTGAAACGGTGCATACTGCCACCTGGAGTGTGTTGTTTGAACAGGTATAAAGCTACGGTTGGCAATTTACTGCCACCTGCAGTTATGGAATGTTTGCTCATTAATATAATGAATTGACTGATCCCTCCTGATGACCTGGATGGAATTATGTGATCCTTCCTTAATGGCCTCACTATAGTACCATTGCACTTCTGAAACCAATAAAGTGAATTTAGCGGTTTTCAGGCCCCCTACCCTGTGTTTTCTGTCCAACACCTTGTTAGCCATTATGCCAAGAGGTCCAAACCTGATGACAAGGTCTCTGGTGTCATACTGTAATGTTCTTGAAGCCACTGCACTCAGAACTTGTCCTGCCTAGACTAAAATTGAAACATCAGCTGTCGTCAATCAAAAAATAGAGATTGTCTGTGTTTGTAGAGTAAGAGTTGAGAGTTCAGTTTAGAATAAGCCTATGTCTTTTTATCCATCTGCATATTGAGGTTTTCGTCTGCCTGTCTGTATGTCTGCCTGCCTGTCTGTTGTTGAGAGTTCAAAGTAGTGTTGTCTTCTGCCTGTCAGTGAGCCTCATAGATATAGCGAAGAGCAGTGGTCCCAGGCACAAAAGTGTGTGACTGATCAACACCAATGAGTATAGGCCAGGGGATCTACACTGAGCTCTGTCTGACATCTAGTGGTAGAAATACTAAACTGTGCCCTGTTCAGAAACAACCCCTCTTTTCCAATCTGGACAAAGTACTGATGGTTTTCTCCCTGAGTTAATTGATTGGCCAGAGAGTCCACTCACTGGTGCCCCAGGTCTGAATCAGTCCCTAATTAGAGAGCAAGAAGAATGAAAAACATCAATAGCCTATAGGCCTACTGCTGGCCTTGAAGGCCAGATGTCAGCATTGCCGGACTAGGGGTTGTTTCTTGACAAGCCCTAAGTGTATGGGAACGTAACTGTAACCAAAATGAGAGAACCAGGGCAATAATAATACTGTAGTATAGGATATTATGTAATAACAGGCTACATTAATTAGCCTACATTATGCCTAGAATAAATTACATGTTCTGTAATTTATTTCTGACCCAATATTTGATAAGGCCTATTTAACAAAACAAAAAAAGCCTATATCTATAGGCTTCTCCTTCACTCCCCTCCCTCCCCCTGCGCCATAGAGTGCCACTGTAGAGCGCTGTCCGTACTCGAGAAGAGAGTTGTTGCCTTGTCCACTGTACGGCGGACCCACCTCCCCCTCACCTCGCGTCCGCAGCCAACGCACCAAGCAGAGAGCTCGAGCCTACCGGAGCCGTTAACGTTATTAACGTTAAACATGGCAGAACGACAGCAGAAACATGAAGGCGGCCGAGTGAAAATCGGGCATTATCTCCTAGGAGACACTCTGGGCGTCGGCACCTTCGGCAAAGTAAAGAGTTAAGTCACGTGCTTGTCAACAGTCATGTCGTGGGAACGTTTGCTGTTATTGAGTGTAAATAATCGTAGCCTGTGTTTTCGTCCCCAACTCAGCTGTGGGCTATTTAGATAACTACGCGAAGTACGTAGCTTTGGCTACGTAGTTACAAACAGGCTAGAATAGATTAACGTTGTCTCGGTTTATGTGTAGAGAACGTGGTTTGGTGAAGCTAGCTCTACCCTGTCCACTCGCGCACCAGTAATGATAGGCATTACATGCATAATTAGGCTACCTTCGGCAACAATGATGGTGTAAACAAACAACTCGCACATAATTGTAACGTCTGACCGCTAGTGAATGTCTGAGGTTGACTTTGCTAGTGGCAGTAGACCTTTAAACTTGTCCTATGTGGCTATGGAAATGTAGGACATTTTAAAAGAAAAATCTACCGTAACGTTATAGCTAAATAGTGCTCATCATCACCAGTATTCCTCAATCAAACCATGGTGTGAATTATCCCATGGCATGGCATGGACAAAATGAGAATTTAGAACGCCTCATCAAGTTACCTCATGTCTTCACCTCAGCAGTCTCAACGTGACCTTGCCGAATTCAGACCCACACCCCACTCCCGAATCCTCCCCTTTCTCTCCCACTGCGCTGCAGGAGGTGTGTTAGATTTGAGACCTGAGTAGGAGAGTGTAACCAGCTACTAGCCAACAATAACAGTGTTTCTTCATTGTTACAGACAGGCAATAACCATGTGGCTACAGACAGACTATAACAATGTTAATACAATGTGACAGACAAACAGATCAAGACAGACAAACCCTGACAGACAGACAGACAGACAGGTCGCACTTGTCTTATTCACCTTGTAATCTATGTGTAGGCTTTAGGCTTACTGTAATTGGTGTGTTGTATTTTACCTGTTTGTTATGTAGGTTACTTACTGTTGTGAACAGATATAGCTAGTCCAGTAATGTGGAAATAGAGATGTTCTGAATCATGTCAAGTTGACTACTGTGAAACAGCCAGGATTCTGTTCTTTATCAGGCAATACATGTTTAGCTGAGTAGCATACACATTACAGCACACATTCCCCTAGCTCTCGAAAAAAAACCTTCTTCTCTGTATGCAGGGTTTTCAGCGGTTACATTCGCCCACATTTGGCTCCATGTGAACTACAATTCCGACGCTGTGTTTTAACGTTTAGAAAAGTCAATAATCATCACTTTCAATCCAGTTCTCGAAACATATGCTGATATGTCCCTTATCTTTCATATCAGAGAGAAGGAATCTTTCAAATAAAAAATATACACTTACTGTAGCAGTTTTGTACAGCTCCACAAGCTGTGTGTGCCTCCAGTTGGCGAACTACACTTCCTCTTCAGTTACGCTTACACACAGGTGTTCGGAGCACCCTAGATAGATAATTAGCACAGGTGTCCGCCTATGTCTTCCGTAAATAAACTATGTTACATGGAGCTATGGCTGTGTGGGAACACTAACCTTAACCCTATTAAGGTGTGTAGTAGAGGTCTTCACGGGTCCAACAAGTTGGTTCCATTTCAAAATGGGTCCGTGGCTTTCCCACTGACCCGATATGCATAAATTAATTTAAAATAAACAGACCTGTTCTGAATGGACCCGAGGACAGTCAGACCCGTTCCGAAAAGGGCCTTGGAAAACAGACCAAAACAGACCTGTGCTGGTTCGGATCCGAGAGAAAGAGAGAGAAAGAAACCTCCAACTGGGCGCTGCAAGCGTCATCAATAAACAAGGATATTGGCCAAATGATCCAGTTACATGTCCTTACAAACTGAAAAATGACAAAAAAACAATTTGTTGTGTTTCGATGTGTAGCATATTAAAAACTTTATAGTCTATTGATTTATAGATTTTTACTTTCCTAAAAAATTGTTGTCTGTCTACCTCACGGTAAATGCAATCGATAAATGCATCAGGGCATTGCATGCATATAGGCCTATAGGCTTAGGTGCCCACTGTATGATATTAATATTTCACAAATAAATATTAAAGGAGACAAGTTTAGGCCTAGCCCTAGAGAGACCGAGAGAAAGATAGAGATATGTCGGCGCCATGTTCCTGACATCGGCATGGATTTCTTTATACTTGTCAGATAGGCTACAGAAGGAGGCTAATTCATACATTTCGATCAGAATATATTTGATAAAGATAAGCATTATATTGTTAGATTTAAAGGAGTAACTCTGGTAGGCCTAAAACAGTTGGAGTGCCGGTGTGCACTGCCTTCCTAGTCCTGCTGTAGCTAAGCCTAGTAATAGCCATACCACACCAAACGTTGCTTAACGTGGTCCTCTGTAGCTCAGCTGGTAGAGCGCGGCGCTTGTAACGCCAGGGTAGTGGGTTCGATCCCCGGGACCACCCATACACAAAGATTTATGCACACATGACTGTAAGTCGCTTTGGATAAAAGCGTCTGCTAAATGGAATATTATTAACTTTATAAGGGTGTCAAAAGTAAGTCAAGTCCTTGTTTATAGGGAAAATACAAAACAGGTTATTATATTGCACCATTAAATTACTTACAAAAAAAGGTGATTGCCTGCCCAACAAATGACAGCAATAGGCTAATGCTAGGCTATTTCTTTTACAACAGGCCTACTTTTAACCTTAAACTAAATACCGAGCACAAAATTAAAGACAGTTAATTTAGCCAATGAACATTTCTCAAGAAAATGAAACAAAACACTTTTTGCATAGGCTATTTAAAGAAATGGTTTAGATTATTAAATCATTAAAGACCTACAATAATAATAATAATAATAAGGATTTACAATAACAATAATGGCTAAACAATTGATAATAAATACGAAAATAAATACATGAAATTGCATCAAACCTGAATAGCGAGTTGCACACAGTGCATTTGGCCGCATAAAACTTGTCCCAGAGGACATTCCCCTTGTCGGCTCCTTTTCACAATACTCTTTCTCCTCTAACTTTCATTTTACTTAAATGAAAAATGACTAAATCTTCACAATCAACAGTAGCCTAGGCCAAGGCTCATTTAACTCGCTCTCTCTCCTCAGCAGCAGGCGCACTTGAGGTGAGCAGCCAGAACCAGTTTCAGCTGGATATAAGCTATACGTTTTATTGAGTTGCAATTTGCTGACATATAACAAGCTCGGGCAGTTCTCACCACACAAACACTAAATTAACAGAGGACAGGTCCAATCGGATCCAGTAGGTAAATACATTTTAAGTGCACATACCCTAGACCCGACCCAGATCCAAGAGAAAGTCAGAATTTAGGACCCGCTCAGGTCTTTTGAAACACCTCTAGTGTGTAGTAATTGAACCTTTTTTAAAATTATTATATTATCCTTATGTTTCCAAAAATGTACTGCAAGCGATGCGCGTTAATGTTTACAGCAAGCATCTGGGCTTTAACAAAACTCCTCTGGTCAGAAGATACTATCGTCAATAGGCACTAAAACAATTAGTGTCTATGAATGGGGAAACATTCTGCTAGCGCCTACCTCAGCAGAGTCTGTCTGACCTTGGCCACAGAGGAAAAGACTAAACAGGTTTTTACACTGAACAAAAATATAAGCGCAACATTCAACATTTTCAAAGATTTTACTGAGTTATAGTTCATATACAGTGGGGGAAAAAAAGTATTTAGTCAGCCACCAATTGTGCAAGTTCTTCCACTTAAAAAGATGAGAGAGGCCTGTAATTTTCATCATAGGTACACGTCAACTATGACAGACAAATTAAAAAAAAAAAAAATCCAGAAAATCACATTGTAGGATTTTTAATGATTTTATTTGCAAATTATGGTGGAAAATAAGTATTTGGTCACCTACAAACAAGCAAGATTTCTGGCTCTCACAGACCTGTAACTTCTTCTTTAAGAGGCTCCTCTGTCCTCCACTCATTACCTGTATTAATGGCACCTGTTTGAACTTGTTATCAGTATAAAAGACACCTGTCCACAACCTCAAACAGTCACACTCCAAACTCCACTATGGCCAAGACCAAAGAGCTGTCAAAGGACACAAGAAACAAAATTGTAGACCTGCACCAGGCTGGGAAGACTGAATCTGCAATAGGTAAGCAGCTTGGTTTGAAGAAATCAACTGTGGGAGCAATTATTAGGAAATGGAAGACATACAAGACCACTGATAATCTCCCTCGATCTGGGGCTCCACGCAAGATCTCACCCCGTGGGGTCAAAATGATCACAAGAACGGTGAGCAAAAATCCCAGAACCACACGGGGGGACCTAGTGAATGACCTGCAGAGAGCTGGGACCAAAGTAACAAAGAGTGCATTTGGATGATCCAGAAGAGGATTGGGAGAATGTCATATGGTCAGATGAAACCAAAATAGAACTTTTTGGTAAAAACTCAACTCGTCGTGTTTGGAGGACAAAGAATGCTGAGTTGCATCCAAAGAACACCATACCTACTGTGAAGCATGGGGGTGGAAACATCATGCTTTGGGGCTGTTTTTCTGCAAAGGGACCAGGACGACTGATCCGTGTAAAGGAAATAATTAATGGGGCCATGTATCGTGAGATTTTGAGTGAAAACCTCCTTCCATCAGCAAGGGCATTGAAGATGAAACGTGGCTGGGTCTTTCAGCATGACAATGATCCCAAACACACCGCCCGGGCAACGAAGGAGTGGCTTCGTAAGACGCATTTCAAGGTCCTGGAGTGGCCTAGCCAGTCTCCAGATCTCAACCCCATAGAAAATCTTTGGAGGGAGTTGAAAGTCTGTGTTGCCCAGCAACAGCCCCAAAACATCACTGCTCTAGAGGAGATCTGCATGGAGGAATGGGCCAAAATACCAGCAACAGTGTGAAAACCTTGTGAAGACTTACAGAAAACGTTTGACCTGTGTCATTGCCAACAAAGGGTATATAACAAAGTATTGAGAAACTTTTGTTATTGACCAAATACTTATTTTCCACCATAATTTGCAAATAAATTCATTAAAAATCCTACAATGTGATTTTCTGGGAAAATTTTTTTTCTCATTTTGTCTGTCATAGTTGACGTGTACCTATGATGAAAATTACAGGCCTCTCTCATCTTTTTAAGTGGGAGAACTTGCACAATTGGTGGCTGACTAAATACTTTTTTTCCCCACTGTAAGTCGATCAGTCAATTGAAATAAATTCATTAGGCCCTAATCTATGGATTTCACATGACTGGGAATACAGATATGCATCTGTTGGTCACAGATACCTTAAAAAAAAAGTAGGGGCGTGGGTCAGAAAACCAGTCAGTATCTGGTGTGACCACCATTTGCCTCATGCAGCGCAACACATCTCCTTCGCATAGAGTTGATCAGGTTTTGATTGTGGCGTGTGGAATGTTGTCCCACTCCTCTTAAATGGCTGTGCGAAGTTGCTGGATATTGACGGGAACTGGAACACGCTGTCGTACACGTCGATCCAGAGCATCCCAAACATGCTTAATTAGTGTCTGGTGAGTATGCAGGCCATAAAGAACTGGGACATTTTCAGCTTCCAAGAATTGTGTGAAGATCCTTGCGACATTGAGCCGTGCATTACCATGCTGAAACATGAGGTGATGGCGATGGATGAATGGCACAACAATAGGCCTCAAGATCTTGCCACGGTATCTCTGTGCATTGAAATTACCATAGATAAAATGCAATTATGTTCGTTGTCCATAGCTTTTGCTTGCCCATACCATAGCCCCACTGCCACCATGGGGCACTCTGTTCACAGCGTTGGCATTAGCAAACCACTCGCTCACACGACGCCATACACGCTGTCTGCCATCTGCCCTGTACAGTTGAAACCAGGATTCATACGTGAAGAACACACTTCTCCAGCGTGCCAGTGGCCATCAAAGGTGAGCATTTGCCCACTGAAGTCGGTTACGACGCCGAACTGCAGTCAGGTCAAGACCCTGGTGAGGAAGAAGAGCACGCAGATGATCTTCCCTGAGACGGTTTCTGACAGTTTGTGCAGAAATTCTTCGGTTGTGCAAACCCACAGTTTAATCAGCTCTGCGGGTGGCTGGTCTCAGACGATCCCGCAGACGAAGAAGCCAGATGTGGAGGTCCTGGGCTGGGGTGGTTACACGTGGTCTGCGGTTGTGAAGCCGGTTGGACGTATCATTCAATTCTCTGGCAATAGCTCTGGTGGACATTCCTGCAGTCAGCATGCCAATTGCACGCTCCCTCAAAACTTGAGACATCTGTGGCATTGTGTTGTGTGACAAAACTGCACATTTTAGAGTGGCCTTTTATTGTCCCCCAGCACAAGGTGAACCTGTGTAATGATCATGCTGTATAATCAGCTTCTTGATATGTCACACATTTCAGGTGGATGGATTATCTTGGCAAAGGAGAAATGCTCACTAACAGGGATGTAAACACATTTGTGCAAAACATTTGAGAGAAATAAGCTTTTTGTGGATATGGAACATTTCCGGGATCTTGTATTTCAGCTCATGAAACATGGGACCAACACAAATTGTGCCTTATAGCCTACATTGCAGCAGTTGAACAGAAACATTCCAGTTGGTTCATGTGTGTGTGTGTGTGTGTGTGTGTGTGTGTGTGTGTGTTGTAGTTGGAGAGCACCAGTTGACAGGTCATAAGGTGGCAGTAAAGATCCTGAACAGACAGAAGATAAGGAGTCTGGATGTGGTGGGCAAGATCAAACGAGAGATACAGAACCTCAAACTATTCAGACACCCTCACATCATCAAACTGTGAGTACAACATACACACACTAAGGCACTGCATCTCAGTGCTTGAGGCGTCACTACAGACCCCCTGGTTCGATTCCAGGCTGTATCACAACCGGCCGTGATTGGGAGTCCCATAGGGCGGCGCACAATTGGCCCAGCGTCGTCCGGGTTTGGCCGGTGTAGGCCGTCATTGTAAATAAAAATGTGTTCTTAACTGACTTGCCTAGTTAAATAAAGGTAAAATAAATAAATAAAAAAAACACACAGACTGTTTGTTTACTTACGCGCCTCAGGAGCTGAATTGGGATTTGGGAGGTCCCTAGGTCAGGGGTGTGCCGGGGTGGGGGGATGGTGGGGGGTGATATACTAGCCTAAATATATATACTGACAAAAGCACATATTACAGGTCGGGGAGGGATCTACCATTTTACGGGGGGAGAATGACTGTGAGAAGGTCAGTTCTGGTGACCTTTTAAAGGAAATCCTACTCCAAAATGATTGAAAAAAATATATATGCTGACAATATAATGACCCCCTCCAGAAATGAGCCCAATATAACTAATTAGTCCATATGATCAGGCAGGTGTGCTATTTAGCAATAATTATTATCAACCTGATGTAGCCCACCTGATACAGCATAGTGGCTATAAATAAATGGGCTGAGGGTTGCCCATTTACCGCATTGGGCTAATCATTAGCTAGATCACAAACTCTGTTCCTAGTTATAGCAACATATGGATGACTTGAATGTCCCCCCCATGTAGCCTACTGTTAATATAATGTAGGCATACCTGTTACACCTGACCGTGTTACATTTAGCCTAGGTCTTTCCTATGCGTTCAAAGCCATTGGTGTCCGCTAGCGCGCATAAACCATGCTGCTGCTAAAAACTCTGGTTCTAAAATGGTGCAATCTTTTATTTATTTTTATTTTTAGGGGGTAGATCAGCTTTAATACTGCAGTTGGTTTGTAGCTTCCATCAATGTAATTGTCTGCATCATTTCCAATCCCCCAAATATTTAAACAAAAAACTAAACAAATATATATATATATATATACATACAGTACCAGTCAAAAGTTTGGACACACCTACTCATTCCAAGGTTTTTCTTTATTTTTACTATTTTCTACATTGTAGAATAATAGTGAAGACATCAAAACTATGAAATAACACATATGGAATCACGTAGTAACCAAAAAAAAGTTAAACAAATCAAAATATAATTTATGTTTGACATTCTTCAAAGTAGCCACCCTTTGCCTTGATGACAGCTTTGCACACTCTTGGCATTCTCTCAACCAGCTTCATGAATGCTTTTCCAACAGTCGTGAAGGAGTTCCCACATATGCTGAGCACTTGTTGGCTGCTTTTCCTTCACTCTGCAGTCCAACTCATCCCAAACCATCTCAATTGGTTTGAGGTCGGGTGATTGTGGAGGCCAGGTCATCTGATGCAGCACTCCATCACTCTCCTTGGTCAAATAGCCCTTACACAGCCTGGAGGTGTGTTTTGGGTCATTGTCCTTTTGAAAAACAAATGATAGTCCCACTAAGCCCAAACCAAATGGGATGGCGTATCACTGCAGAATGCTGTGGTAGCCATGCTGGTTAAGTGTGCCTTGAATTCTAAATAAATCACTGACAGTGTCACCAGCAAAGCACCCCCACACCATCACACCACCTCCTCCATGCTTCACGGTGGGAACCACACATGCGGAGATCATCTGTTCACCTACTCTGCGTCTCACAAAGACACGGCGGTTGGAACCAAAAATGTCAAATTTGGACTCATCAGAGCAAAGGACAGATTTCCACCGGTCTAATGTCCATTGCTCATGTTTCTTGGCCCAAGCAAGTCTCTTCTTCTTATTGATGTCCTTTAGTAGTGGTTTCTTTTGAGTAATTTGACCATGAAGGCCTGATTCACGCAGTCTCCCCTGAACAGTTGATGTTGAGATGTGTTTGATACTTGAACTCTGTGAAGCATTTATTTGGGTTGCAATTTCTGAGGTGCAGTTAATTACCGATTTCTGAGGCTGGTAACTCTAATGAACTTATCCTCTGCAGCAGAGGGAACTCTTTGGTCTTCCTTTCCTGTGGCGGTTCTCATGAGAGCCAGTTTCATCATAGCGCTTGATGGTTTTTGCGACTGCACTTGAAGAAACTTTCAAAGTTCTTGAGATTTTCCGCAATGACTGACCTTCATGTCTTAAAGTAATGATGGACTGTAGTTTCTCTTTGCTTATTTGAGCTGTTCTTGCCATAATATGGACTTGGTATTTTACCAAATAAGGCCATTTTCTGTATACCACCCCTACCATGTCACACCACAACTGATTGGCTCAAACACATTAAGAAGGAAATAAATTCCACAAATTAACTTTTAACAACGCACACCTGTTAATTGAAATACATTCCAGGTGACTACCTCATGAAGCTGGTTGAGAGAATTCCAAGAGTGTGCAAAGCTGTCATCAAGGCAAAGGGTGTCTACTTTGAAGAATCTCAAATATAAAATATATTTTGATGTATTTAACACTTTATTGGTTACTACATGATTCCATATGTGTTATTTCATAGTTTGATGTCTTCACTATTATTCTTCAATGTAGAAAATTGTAAAAATAAAGAAAACCCCTTGAATGAGTAGGTGTGTCCAAACTTTTGACTGGTACTGTATATACATACATATCTTTTTAAAATATATTTTCCTTTCTTATTTTCCCCTAACCCTACCACCCCTCCCCTAATTGGAGTAAACTAATGGACAACAACACTTAGGCTTCTACTTCCAGCTTATACATACTGTATACGTGTTACGGACACAATATATTTTACAGTAGTTATCTTTTGTTCGTTTTTAATCCCATCCTTCAGCTACCATCAACCCCTCCAATCTATCTCTGAAGCCCATCCAGTTTGATTTCTATTTTGCCATATATTTTTGATGGTGCATTTTACTAATTTCTTGGATTTGAGAAATAAGTGTAGCCTAGTAACACTAGAAAACTCAGTGATCCTCTTTTAACAGTGGCCATCAAGACTGCTTTCAAAGGTGTGTATTCCCACGACTGCATTAAGAATGTTGTAGGCTACAATGACTGGGCATGCATATTTCTCTCCCTGTGCGTCACTCACAATTTGAATGCGCCTCGAGAGGAATATTATTTTTCTTGCATAGAATGCGGCAGGCTGAACAATTGAATAGGTAATCTATTCTACTATGGGGTTGTCTGAGTTTGCTGTTGCTTAGCCTACTCATGTTGTTGGCTGTGGAAAATTAAACGTGGTCAAAATGTTTCATTTGATAATTCTAATAGGCTAACGAAAGGTACTGGGTCTCAGCTCCACCTGGCTTTCATTTGGATCATAGACCTGGCGGGACCCAGCCGATTTTAACCCCTGGGAGCACCCCCCCCCCCCCCCTCTCGCTCTCCCACACACAAATAATCAGTTCCTTCCGGTTAGCAGAAATCTCTGGTTAAGAAGATAAAGTTTATAATTCCGGCTTGGATAAATCCCTTCCCAGGTGTCTAGTGTCCTCTCTCTCTCTCTCTCTCTCTCTCTCTCTCTCTCTCTCTCTCTCTCTCTCTCTGCTTCCTCTGTGAGTGTTAATTGTAGGGTTAGGCCACAGTGACATTGTGAGCTATGGCTTTATGACAGACTTTCAGCCAATGTATTCAGCACAATAGCCACTCAGAGACACAATAGCCCTGTCTGTCTGTGTGAGAGAAGGAAGGAAAAGAAAGAGAACAAGTGTATTTCTGACATTTCTCCTGAGTGTTTAAGTCTGTCTACCCCCTGTGTGTGTAGGTACCAGGTGATCAGTACTCCTACAGATTTCTTCATGGTGATGGAGTATGTCTCAGGAGGAGAGCTGTTTGACTACATCTGCAAACACGGACGGGTGAGATGTATGACTGACTGAATGACTGGCTGACTGACTGACTGACTGACTGTCTGGATTGATTGATTGATTGATAGATACAGACACGGGCCATTATATGGTGACATTTGTCATAGTGACAGTATGTAGTAACATTAGAATAGAAGAAACTACTAACCTCCTACTCGGTACCTCATATTGTGTGTGTAGGTAGAAGACAAAGAGGCTCGTCGGTTGTTCCAGCAGATCATCTCAGGGGTAGACTACTGCCACAGACACATGGTGGTGCACAGAGACCTCAAACCTGAGAATGTCCTGCTGGACCATTCCAAGAACGCCAAGATAGCTGACTTTGGTATGCTACACACTCTCATGCATGCACATAAATAACAAATTGAGTTATCCACAAAGATATCCATAGCCACTGTATCAGCAGTAGCAAATGTCAAACCAAACCACTTCTCTTTTAGAATATACCGACACCTATATGACTCTGATTACTCTGGACAGGGGGCTTGGGTGGGGTGCGTGTGTGTGAGGAGGGGGGGTTGTTGCTTAGCAACAGGCAGGTCTGATATCCACTCTGGCAGGGAGCCCTGTCAGGGCCTGTGTCACCTGATCATAGAAAGACTGCGGGAGAGAGAGAGGGGGAGAAAGAGGGGGAGAGAGAGAGAGGGCAAGGGAAGAGAGAAAATCGTGGGAAGGTTAGGTCAAATCAAAAAATACAATCCAGTTTTATTTGCCACATGCGCCGAATGCAACAGGTGTAGACCTTACAGTGAAATGCTTACTTACAAGCCCTTAACCAACAATGCAATTTTAAGAAGAAAAAAAAAAGTGTTAAGTAAAAAATAGATAACAAATAAATGAAAACATTTTTTTATTAAAGAGCAGCAGTAAAATAACAGTAGCGAGGCTATATACAGGGGGTACCGGTACAGAGTCAATGTGCGGGGGCACAGATTAGTCGAGTTAATTTAGGTAATATGTACATATGGGTAGAGTTAAAGTGACTATGCATAGATAATAAGCATGTATAGTGAAGGTAAGGTTAGGGAGAAGTTGATCCTATCAGCGCAGCATGTGTGGAGCTTAGAGGACTGGGTTAGTAAAGCTGAATAAACACATTATACAGGCCTAGAGACCTAACCATGGCACGACCTAACACTAACCCTCTCATAACATAGTTCCAAGATAGCATCAGGAACTTGAGCTTGAAGATAATGTTGTTAGAAAATGATGTGCTCTGGTCAACAGGGTTGTCAAACATGATGTCAGATGGGGAGTTCCTGAGGACCAGCTGTGGATCTCCCAACTACGCTGCTCCTGAAGTCATCTCTGGAAGGTGTGTGTGTGTGTGTGTGTGTGTGTATGCAGGTCCTAAGGTTGATACTGTAGGACAGGGGTACAAAAATGTCCTAGGTGGCAAAAGTCTGGATGGATATATTGTCATTTATCAGCATAGTAACAAACCCCCACCTCGTTTTCAAGCTAATTTCCTGCAATTCGACACATTTTGCCATGTCTTATGTGTGTTCATATAATAAAAGCTGCTAATGCACTACCAAATTTAGAAATTGCTATTACAATTACTATTACAACTTACCTGACCGAGTTCCTTAAAGCTGCAATATGTAACTTTTTGGGTGACCTGATCAAATTCACATAGACATTTGTGTTATAGAGCTATCATTCTCATTGAACGCAAGTCTAAGAAGCGATAGATCTGTTTCTAAGCTTCCCGTTTTTAAGTTTCGTTTTTGAGTCTGTTACTTTCGGTTTTGTACACCATCTTCAAACAGCTGAAAATACAAATGTTTTTGTTATGGAAAATATATTTCACAGCGGTTTAGATGGTACAACGATTCTCTACACTATACATGCTTGTTTGGTCACATAAATTGAAATTAAGCGAAGTATTATCATTTTTGTAACCAGGAAATGGCGGCATAGCCACGGGAAGTAGGGGTGCTGAGCACCCCCCGAACAATCCGAAGAAGAAAAAAAACAGTCCTTTATTACCAGACCGATATAGCCGTCTGTAGCGTGGGCAAAATAACAATTCTGTGCCCCCCCCCCCCAACAGGGTTCGGATCAGTACCGCGGTCTGCCTATTGAGTGTGGTTGCTGTAGGATGTTGTGGTGTGATCCTGTATGCTTTTCTTTGGTAACAGGTTATATGCTGGCCCTAAGGTGGATATATGGAGTTGTGGGGTGATCCTGTATGCTTTGCTTTGGTAACAGGTTATATGCTGGCCCTGAGGTGGATATATGGAGTTGTGGGGTGATCCTGTATGCATTGCTGTGTGGGACTCTGCCCTTTGATGACGAACATGTTCCCACACTGTTTAAGAAGATCAGAGGGGGTGTGTTCTATATGCCAGAATACCTCACTCGCCCTGTTGCCTCCCTGCTGCTGCTCATGCTGCAGGTCGACCCATTGAAGAGAGCCACCATTAAAGACATTAGGTAACCCCTGACCTCTAACTTCTAACCTTCCCTACTGATGATGATGCTGATGCTTTTAATGGGATAATACTGGCAAACGTAGCCAAACGCTGGTTTGTGGTGGTTGAAGGTTGGTCCAGAGCAAAAGAATAGAAGAATCATGGACAGTAACTGTTATTTTGTTTGTGTTTGTGTTTGTGTTTGTGTGTGTGTGTGTGTGTGTGTGTGTGTGTGTGTGTGTGTGTAGGGAACATGAGTGGTTTAAGCAGGACCTGCCAGGCTACCTGTTTCCTGAGGACCTGTCTTATGACGCCACGGTTCTGGATGAGGAGGCCGTCAGGGAGGTGTGTGACAAGTTTGAGAGCACAGAGTCTGAGGTGATGTGCAGCCTGTACAGCGGAGACCCCCAGGTACATACTGTACACAGTATGCACACTAGTGCAAACACACACACACACACTTAGTCATACAGTACACAGACAAACACACTCACCCTCTATCGCTCTCTCTCCACCCTCTCTCATTCTGTCTCTCCAGGACCAGCTAGCGGTAGCATACCATCTGATTATAGACAACCGTCGTATCATGACCCAGGCCAGTGAGTTCTACCTGGCCTCCAGCCCTCCCCAGGGCTCCTTCATGGAGGATGGCATGCCCCTGCCCCCCGGGGTCAAACCACACCCAGAGAGGATGCCCCCCCTGCTGGTAGACAGCCCCAAGGCAAGCACCTGTACCTGGTTCTATTCTATGTACTATTAAAACCTAATATAGACAGGACTATCGTCGCGTCTATAATGTTTATATAAAATCAGATACAATATCTCTAAAGTGTAAACACTTGATGAAGTGCTTCTTCCATGATACTAGTCTAGCAGTCAAAAACAAAACTGTTGGAATGCAAATGCAACATTGGCAGTATAGTATATTTGCATGCAGTCTTCTTGTCCTCATGTATTTGTGACTGCTTGTTGGGGAAAATAAAGATTCTCTCCTCTCTCTCTCTGTCTGCAGGCGCGCTGCCCGCTGGATGCCCTGAACACCACCAGAGCCAAACCCCTGGCAGTGAAGAAAGCCAAGTGGCACCTAGGCATCAGGAGTCAGAGCAGACCCTATGACATCATGGCTGAGGTCTACAGGGCTATGAGACAGCTACAGTATGACTGGAAGGTGAGGCACAGTGTGTGTGTGTGTGCGTACGTGTTGTGTGTATACTGTACATGTTAAGGTGTGTGTGTATGTGTGTGATATGTGTAGGTGGTGAACCCGTACCACCTGCGTGTTCGGAGTAAGAACCCAGTAACAGGCAACCTGGTGAAGATGAGTCTCCAGATGTACCAGGTGGACAACAGATCCTACCTGCTGGACTTCAAGAGCATCGACGGTACAACAGCTCTATAACATGAAAATATCTTATAATATACACCAAAGCAAACTGTCCTTAGATACCTGGTTAAACCGTAGTAACTGTACTTTTTTACTTATTTGAAACAGCATTTACAGTTTTCTCTTACTACAACTGTACAACAATTACTGAGTACAGATGAGTAGCTACAAAAACAAACACTAACCTTTCCTCTCCTGTCCTGAACGCTCCTTTCCCCCTCTCCAGATGACATCATGGAGGCAGTAGGGTTTAAGTCGGGCTCTTCCACCCCCCAGAGGTCAGGCTCCACTGCAGGGCTCCATAGACCAAGACTCAGTGTGGACTCAGCCTTACCTGCCGTGGATCTCCCCCAGCTCAGCTCCTCCCTGCCTGGGTCGCTGTGCTCCAGCGCTGCCCTCATCACCTCCACCCCCACCCCGCGCCAGGGCAGCCACACCATGGACTTCTTTGAGATGTGTGCCAGTCTCATCACCACACTGGCCCGCTAGAGAGGGTTAACCCTGCTGGATAACCTGAAGTTTTCCCTGGTCAACGTCAAAAAGTCAGGAAGACTCCAGGTCCTACTTGCATAACCTCTAAAACAGAACCTTGCCCTGAGCCTTGTAGTTAGACAGTTTGATATCGGTGTGATCCTGGCCTAAGTTTAGTAGAACACTGACCGCTGCAGGGAAGACGTGCCTCTAACCCCATATCTAGAGTCAGTCGTGTGTTGTTACCTCCATGTGTTATAGGTTTGGGCTGGGCAAGGGATACTGATTCTAGATCTGTGGTTAGGCTTCCTGTCTAGAGCCATCCTGGCCATGGGAAAGGTTAGGGGGTTAGGGGTTAGAGATCAAACTTGCTGGGGCAGGGTCACGTTAGGTCAAATCTACTGTAGCTCCCATAGACTGTATAAAGATAGGCAGCTCCTCCCACATTTCTCTCAACCTCCAATCAGCTGCTGAATAGCCATCACCATAGAACTAGCCTTAGCGGAGTTGCAAACAATTGTATGCATCTGGTTTTCAAGGATACAGCTAATTCAACCTAGCTTTCTTTTCCACTGAAAACCGGATGTGGGAACTCCGCTAAGGCGTTTTCTTTTATGCCTACTACGTTAGGTTACCATAGAACAAACACATTGCACATTTTATTTTTGGTTTTAAATGGTTTTTATAACGACACAGATTTTGTTATCCATATATTTATATTACTATCATTTTGAGTAGTGGAGTAGATGTTGATTGAAATGACATACCAAAAAATGTAGTTTCTACATACAAAAAGGATTGTTATTATTTAGATATCAGATTCTTCTTTTTTTTTTTAAAGGCTGTGTGTGGTTACTGAATATTGAGTATTGAATCACTGCTGATGTTTAAGAATTCCATACTGAGTTTGAAGATATTTTAGGTGAGGTCGTAGAGAGAGGGGAGGCTAGCTGACTGGTAATATTGTTCTGTGGATTAGTTGGCATTGATGCTAACGTGGCTGGCTGACGGAGGAGGAGGAGGAGGAGGGAGGGAAGTGTATCTGTAGCAAGCCTCAGTGGACTCTAAGCTCCAGAACCTTTCTCCAGGTGCCTTAAAAACACAAATGTTGCTTCTAGCTTGGTGGCCATGTTGTTTTGTTTGTAGAAACAGAATGGAAACCATACTGTTGTTTCTGTTTGTGTGTACACTGATGTGTGTGAGTGTAGAGGAGAGGAGTGAAAGACAGGAGCTTGCCATGGATTGGTCAGAAGACATACTGTAGTTTATGTGCCAATGAGATTTGAGATCTGACTAATATAACTATAGGTAGAGCGAGAGAGGGGGAGAGATGATAGGCATTGGAATAGATATGCAAGACCACTGACTGATTAGAAGTCGTATAAAAGTATTGCTTATAAAGCACTCTGTTCTCTGGTCTTTATAATGGAACAAATCTCCCTTTACCATTTGTCCGATGGTTTACAGTATACAGTTTTCCTCCTGGCTCTGTCTGTCTGTCCTGTTCTGCTGGAGCCAGTAAGGACTTGGCTCTGGCTGATCTGATGCATGCTAGTGTGTGTTTCTGTTGTGTTCTGGTACCATGATGGTGATCTGTTCTGTGTTCGGTTTGTTACTAAATGTAGAATCATTTGTATCTCTCTTTCCCTCCCGCCCTCCATCTGGAGTTATTTGTTTGTCGTTTATTAGCGTGTGTTTTGAGCCACAGCGAGAGGAGACACTAAACCTCTCTTCTATCCTTCTGTTACCTTGTTTCCTGTTACCTTGTCATTTGTCCTAAGTAGCAGTTAGTGCAGTCTGTTTTCTCTCTTTATGAGACTATACATTCAATAAGGAACCCAGACCTATAGAGCAGCGTTTCTCAAACTGTCCTGGGGACCCAAAGGAGTGCAGGTTTTGGTTTTTGCCCTAGCGCTAAACAGCTGAATCATATAATCAAAGCTTGATGATAAGTTGATTATTTGGATCAGCTGTGTAGTGCTAAGGCAAACAACTAAACGTGCACCCCTTGGGGTCGCCAGGACCGAGTTTGGGAAACACGGAAGAGGGACATATTTATAGAAACTCTGCCCCCTGCTGCAAGACTCATGCAATTACCCACAGCAACACCCCTGTTCTCTGCTCGTACAAGGGAAAGGTATTTACACACACATACTACTTACTTTAAGGTATACACACACCCACTCTACCAGTGTAAGGTGTACCTCTTGCCAAGGGTTAAGGTGTGTTGTCAATGCATCCAGACTTCTGGAACCAAAGTGTTCTTCACTGTGTGAGAGTGAAATCTACCTCTCCCTCCCTCTCTTGTTCCCCGCCGTCTCTCTGTCTGACGTGTGGTTTTTGTGTTATATGCACTGCATGGTGTTGCTGTTCTTATTTGCACTTTACTGAGAATTTATTGTCAAACACAATAAACTGACCTATACAATAGACCACTGCTTTGAGTTTTTATTAATCACCAGATCACAACTAGCAGAGGTGGTAGCTAAATGAGCATGACTTAAACTAAATGTTACATCAAATGGCTTTCTCTCTCTATAATACTTAATGGGAAATTCATTGGGAATATAAAAAACAACAGAAAAGTCTAATATGGCAGGCATCCTATTCCCTGTGTAGTGCACTACTTTTGACTGAGCCCTATGTGGCTAACCACTTAGGTCAAAGTTAGTACACTACACAGGGAATAGGGTGTCATTGGAGACACAGACAGTAGCTGGATACAGTATTGAGTCGTCATAGCCATTTCAAACACGAACACTTGTAAAGATACATCATTACACAGTGGAACCTCAACCATCGCATGTATGGTATCCCATAATTGTCTTTCTATAAAACGATTAAACATTCAGTATAAACAGAACTGCTCTCTGTCTGTATAATGCCCTTCATGTCATCCTCCATAACCCTGGACGGACATCAATACAAGAGATTAAATCCAAAACCGTGCTATAGTGTCCTTGACATTTATCGGTAATTTCCAATTAAAAGTTATTTGCCGACATCTGCAGCATTTACCTTGAATGCGATCTCCGCGAACATGGTAACATTGCCATAAAAAGCTGCTTTGTCGACTAGAGCGCTCGGATTGAATCCCGGCCGAAACAATATTATAACAGAAATAGTCCATCTGATTGCAGGTTGTGCAGACAGAGATCCTACAAGTCTTTGTTATCTGGCAGATGACTGGCAGTCGACGACAGACATACCATCTTGCCGTTCTTCTTCTGTTCTCCAGCTGCTCACAGAAGAGAGAACAGACCCAGACATCATCAATGCATTATCAATAGCCTTGTAATTGACTGATCAGCGTTTCTGCTCAGTGGTGACTATTTGAGCTGTAAAGTAAAGCAACTTTCTTACCTGTAGGTAGTTTGTAGTCTACTAAGTATCACTGATGATGATGTCTGCATACAGGTCAGGAGGAGGAAGAATCACCATATCTGGAAGCTTCAAATCTGCTTCCTCTTTACACCTACAGAGAAACACACACAGATGCCTGTCACACACTCAAACACAAAAGCCTTTCAGACACACTCAAACACAAATGCCTGTTAGACATACACTCAAATGCCTTTAAGACACATACAAACACACACACACACACACACACACAAATGCCTGTCAGACACACACCTACACTCACACACACTCAGTGACACAGCTCAATAACATTCACAACCCAAGCCCAGAAAACCAGTCTGATAACAGAATACACAATGTGACATTTCTTTCTATCCTACTTACAGGTACACCGTCTCTGGTCCTTCTATGTCCATAGGGCCTGGAAATGAAAGAAGGAAGATGTTTTAAAAGAATTTTCCCACTGTCATCTGAGTGTCAGATTCACAAGTAGAAAGTGAATTCCTTTCACTGAACTCATGAATTCCAACAACATTCTTTCAACCATTATGAGCTGGTTTCCTAGACCCAGATTTAACCCTACTGAGGGGTATACTACAAACTAGGAACAATGAATTAGCCAGCTAACTTTGATAACAAACCAGAAATAACTGTTGAGTTTTTGATTCATTAATAAAGTTAAAGTTCTATATGTGTTTTGGTTGTTGAGTCAATAGATCATGCCAATTTCAAGCTCATCTTTCTAAAAAGTTAACGTTATTTCAGAATATTTAGGCAAGTTAGCTGGCTAACTCATTGATCCTGCTTTGTAGTATACCCCTCGGGACTATTACAGATGTAGGATCTTAATTTGAGCCAGTTTGGTCCAGCAGGAAAATAATCCTGCAACAACAGGAAATGTGAATTATTATGTGGATTATAATTAATGGACATTTTTGTAGGGGTTGATACATTTTTCATAAGGGAAATGTAAAATCAAGTTTTAAAAAATGTAAATGTGGAAATTACAAACTTCAGAAGCCTTTTTTGCATTGCAAGAAAGTTCTCCTGCAACAGGGTGATCAAATTAAGATTCTACATCTGTTTGAAAGAAAGGCATGCACAATGGATAATTTGGGTCTGGGTAACCAGCCCAAGGACTATAGACCTAATGTGTGCAATGTGTAGGACACAGAATCCACCCAGAGCGGTTACTTACTGATCGGTTCTTCTTCAGGTTCAGTTTCAGGTTCTTCAGGTCTTCTTAGAGGGAGACAGTAGGGAAAGAGAGAGATTGGGAGTAGGGAGAGGAGAAGAAAGAGAAAAAAATAAGAGAAGAGGAGCTGCTGAAGGAAATGTAGTCTATTTCAGAAGAACAGAATAGCATACTCTGAGTTGTCCTTATGTTAGGCCCTGATCTGGCTATGCCATATGGCTGTGGGCTACACTAGTTCATTTAGCAGACAAGATTTGCTTAGAATTCCGTGGAATTATTTTATAGTATGAAGAATACAATTGAACATAGCTGAATAAAACAGAAAGGATATTTTCTCCAAACGATTTGAGGGAGTGCGCACATGCGGCTATTCTGTGTTGAGCGGATAACAAAGAAACAGGTACTCCTATATGCTTAATTTAGAGTTATTTGTGTAACTTTAGTTGTGATACAACTGTTGGGCTATATGTTTTCATTTGTAATACATTCTAAGGCTGCATGATGTGACTCTAATGATGATTTGAAAAAAGTCACATGAAAGGCATGAGCTCTGCTTTGTTTGTTGCGCAGGCTGTACAAACTTCATCAGTCTCTCATTCACAATTTGACAAGCACTTGATAATACCTCGAATTTCCCAGCTGCATCCCCTTTGTTTGGCCGTAATGCCCCCTAAAATAATCCATGCCTTTTGCGGCCAGTGGCCATTGTGCCCTTGGGCTGAATATAATAATTATAATTCCCTTCTCCCGGCTGCGTGCCGAAGCACCTCTCACTCACATGGCTCTCAGTCACGTGATCGGGCCTTTCTCACTATGCTACAGGTGAAGACCGACACATCGGGGACGCAACTGCTCGCATCCTTATCTAATTCTGAGGCGCATATTGAAGATATTGGAAGAACTGTCCACATTTACTTTTCGTCAGCCAACAAGATGAGTAGGCCTAACGAACAGCAAAAGCACTAGCCTATGTCAGTCTACTATCCCCCATAGTACAAAAGTTTACTTATTCTATTCTGTGCGAGAAATAAATATTCCAAACATAGTCTGGGACAATTGTGGGATGCGATAGATCCCAAATTAATTCAATCACTAGCATAAAAAAACCAGATTTAAGCAATGAGCCTGACGCAACAGATGAGAACGTTTAGCTTAAAAAGTTGATAAACTATTAGGCTATTTCTTCACATTATAAGCACAGCAATGCGCACACGGCAGTAGGCTTTAAGCGCAAATGTTCCATTAGCAGGAAAACACCATTCTCAAAAGTGACCACAAATGCGATTATGCATGTAATGCTTTTATTATAAAGGTGCATTTTTTTAGTGAAAATTATCTTCCCCAAACTTGAAACTCACTCATTGCGTATGTATGCCTGTTAGTCTCTACACCCGTTCGTTGTAAAGCAGATTAATGTCCTTCATTTTAAGAAGTTATTTGGCCACTTTAGTTGTGATAAAAACCTTTTCAAAACATATAGGCCTATGGCAGTGGCGGCTCCTGAAAAAATTCTCAGGGGGGGCAATTTTTCTGATGATTTAGGTGACCTACACACATTTAAAAAAAGATATGTCCAGCAACAACATGAAGACAGGGGCAGCATATAAGTCAATACCAGAAGCATTTATTGACTGATCTCAAAAGTGTTGGCTTACAAAAGCAAAATAAGTTATCACAGTAAAAATAATCAAGGGTGTTCTTTCACATTCCTCAACACTGCATAAACAATATGCATTTCCATAAAACACCTCATCTAATTGTGCCACAAAGTTGACAAGTCCAAGAAAAATACAAGGGTTGGTGGAGCCCTCAGTTTCATCTTTGCCTCGCAAAGCTAACTCAAACACTCCGCAAAACTTCACACACTGGATTAGCCGGCTGAGGATGTGGCGGTTCTTGCTAACCTCATCGTTGTGGCGGCGGACAGCTAGCCTGTATCCCTCATCCAGTTGAGTGGCAATGTTCACTCTCCCCAAAGCAGACAATCTCAAACAGCTATCCATGTGGGTCTTTGACAGCTCATGTTTCTTAATCTTTTCTGAAAGATGGTGCATGTCCGTTACACCAGTCGCTGTCCAAGCGGTGCTGTCTGCCGTGCCGCCTTCAGGGTGAAAGAGTAAGCAGGGGTAGCAGAAGACTGCATTAGCTACATCGCAGCCTGCTAGCCAGGTTTCTCGTTCGTACCAATTTTTGGAAAATCCTCGGGTGTAGGACTTTCCCCCTTTAGTAGAAACCTGTTGAATTATTAAATTTGGTCTGGGAGGTCCTAATTGTTTCGTTGCCAATTTATCTTGATTTGTTCGCCGACAAAAAGGAACTTCTTTCAAAGAGACAATCGAGTTGCACTGAACGCTAGCCATCTTGACAGTAGTACGTGAATTGATTGACGCTGCTACCCGCTCTTTTCTTAGTTACGTTCATGGTTATGTTACGTATGACGAAAGCGCGTAAGTGCAAGCCCTCCCGGAACCCATAGAGATTGTATTGAAAGCTCTGATATTTGAAAAAAAAAGATTTTACATGAGAGTCTATGAGAGACTTCTGGGGCGATTTTCAACCTGACTGAAATCGCCCCAAAAGGGGCGGGGCCATTTGAAGCACGACTTTAGCCTGATTGGACATTTAGTGGCAGATCAGACGTCTAGATTAGAACACTGATAACTACTGTTGCCGTGATATAATTGATTAGAAAAAAAAATCCCTTCCTTTTCCTGTTTGGCAGTGCGTCGCCCATATCGCCCTAATGAACACACCGCCCCTGGCCTATGGGCTAGGCTACATGAGGCGTGCGACTATGATTTGAAAAATGTGTCAAAAAAAAGCATGCGCTGTTTGCCTTAAGCTGGGCATCATTCACAAGTGATAATATGTAATTCACAAGTGATAAGCTAATATTGTCACCCATCACACTATTCTTGATTTAATCAAGTCTTTACATATACTAAATAATATATTTGTGAAATTTGTTTCGATTTAGAATGGATCATTATCATGCACCTGTCTCAAAACAGGGCAGCGAAAAAAATACATACACTTAAATAGCAAATGGAGGACGCTTTTCCCGTGGTTCATTTTCATGCCAGCCAGGTAGGCTAGACTCCTGTTGTAAAGAGAAGCAATGTGCTTAATATTAGGAAAGTTGAGAAATAAATATAGTAGGCCTAGCCTATAGAAAGCTGATGGGATCCTCCTCTTTTTAATAGAGGCCATCACTCTGTTTTCTCACGCAATTACATAGCCTATAGAAATGTTGCACAACATGAGCTCATGGGCTCTCATGAAGTGTTTGATTAGATTTTCGATTACATTTGCATTGATGTCAGAGTGATTAGAGGGACAATAGAGTGCTGAGTACCAGGCAGTTAGAAAGTTTGGTAGGCTACTAAAGACCATCAGCAGCATCAGAGCTTGGAGAAGCCTAATTACCGTGACTAAACGGTCACGTGGCATTTGACTGTCGTCATGACTTTATAGATGGCGCCGGAGGGGATGGCTGCCGTTTTATGGACTCTTAACCAACCGTGCTATTTTGTGTTTTTTTTCGCAATGTTTGTGACTTATTTTGTACATAATGTTGCTGCTACCGTCTCTTATGACCGAAAAGAGCTTCTGGACATCAGAACAGCGATTACTAACCTTGAACTGGACAAATCATTTTTCTTTAATGAGTCGGATGAGAGAGCTCCAGACACCCGACAGGGCCCTCATTCCCGTCATTCGCAGTAGAAAGAAAAGGAGATATCGCGGAAGGAGATCGGGGTGCCTGGTAAGGAGCCGGAGATGAGTGGCTAATCTGCCTTTGCCATCGATACTATTGGCCAACTTACAATCGCTTGATAATAAAGTGGACGAACTACAAGCACGTATATCCTACCAACGGGACATTAAAAACTGTAATATCTTATGTTTCACCGAGTCGTGGCTGAACAAAGACATGAATAACATACAGCAGGCAGGTTAGATACACTGTATCGGCAGGATAGAACAGCAGCCTCTGGTAAGACAAGGGGTGGCGGTCTATGTATATTTGTAAACAACAGCTGGTGCATGATATCTAAGGAAGTCTCAAGGTTTTGCTCGCCTGAGGTAGAGTATATCATGATAAGCTGTAGACCACACTATCTACCAAGAGAGTTTTCATCTATATTATTCGTAGCTGTCTATTTACCACCACAAACCGATGCTGGCACTAAGACCGCACTCAATGAACTGTATACAGCCATAAGCAAACAGCAAAACGCTCATCGAGGAAGCGCTCCTAGTGGCCGGGGACTTTAATGCAGGGAAAGTTAAATCAGTTTTACCTAATTTCTACCAGCATGTTAAATGTGCAACCAGAGGGAAATAAACTCTAGACCACCTTTACTCCACACACAGAGACACGTACAAAGCTCTCCATCGCCCACCATTTGGCAAATCTGACCATAATTCTATCCTCCTGATTCCTGCTTATAAGCAAAAACTAAAGCAGGAAGCACCAGTGACTCGGTCAATAAAAAAGGGTCAGATGAAGCAGATGCTAAGCTACAGGGCTGTTTTGCTAGCACAGACTGGAATATGTTCCAGGATTCTTCCAATGGCATTGAGGAGTACACCACATCAGTCACTGGCTTCATCAATAAGTGCTGATGATGTCGTCCCCACACTGACTGTACGTACATACCTCATCCAGAAGCCATGGATTACAGGCAACATCCGCACTGAGCTAAAGGGTAGAGCTGGCGCTTTCAAGGAGCGGGACTCTAACCCGGAAGCTTATAAGAAATCCCGCTATGCCCTCCGACGGACCATCAAACAGGCAAAGCGTCAATACAGGACTAAGATTGAATCGTACTACACTGGCTCCGACGCTCGTCGGATGTAGCAGGGCTTGCAAACTATTACAGACTACAAAGGGAAGCACAGCCGCGAGCTGCCCAGTGACACGAGCATATCAGACGAGCTAAATTACTTTTATGCTCGCTTCGAGGCAAGTAACACTGAAGCATGCATGACAGCATCAGCTGTTCTGGACGACCGTGTGATCACGCTCTCTGTAGCCGATGTGAGTAAGACCTTTAAACAGGTCAACAGTCACAAGACAGACGGATTACCAGGATGTGTACTCCGAGCATGCGCTGACCAACTGGCAAGTGTCTTCACTGACATTTTCAACCTCTCCCTGTCTGAGTCTGTAATACCAACATGTTTCAAGCAGACCACCATAGTCTCTGTGCCCAAGAACACTAAGGTAACCTGCCTAAATGACTACAGACCCGTAGCACTCATGTCTGTAGCTATAAAGTGCTTTGAAAGGCTGGTCATGGCTCACATCAACACCATTATCCCAGAAACCTTAGACCCACTTCAATTTGCATACCGCCCCAACAGATCCACAGATGATGCAATCTCTATTGCGCTCCACACTGCCCTTTCACACCTGGAGAAAAGGAACACCTATGTGAGAATGCTATTCATTGACTACAGCTCAGCCCTCAAAGCTCATCACTAAGCTAAGGATCCTGGGACTAAACACCTCCCTCTGCAACTGGATGCTGGACTTCCTGACGGGTCGCCCCCAGGTGGTAAGGGTAGGTAACACGGGGGCCCCTCAGGGGTGCGTGCTCAGTCCCCTCCTGTACTCCCTGTTCACTCATGACTGCATGGCCAGGCACGACTCCAACACCATCATTAAGTTTGCCGATGACACAACAGTGGTAGGCCTGATCACCGACAACGGGAGACAGCCTATAGGGAGGAGGTCAGAGACCTGGCTGTGTGGTGCCAGGACAACAACCTCTCCCTCAACGTGATCAAGACAAAGGAGATTATTGTGGACTACAGGAAAAATAAGAGGACCGAGCACGCCCCCATTCACATCGACGGGGCTGTAGTGGAGCAGGTTTAGAGCTTCAAGTTCCTTGGTGTCCAAATCACCAACAAACTAACATGGTCCAAGCACACCAAGACAGTCGTGAAGAGGGCACGACAAAACCTATTCCCCCTAAGGAGACTGAAAAGATTTGGCATGGGTCCTCAGATCCTCAAAAGTTTCTACAGCTGCACCATCGAGAGCATCCTGACTGGTTGCATCACTGCCTGGTATGGCAATTGCTCGGCCTCCGACCGCAAGGCACTACAGAGGGTAGTGCGTACGGCCCAGTACATCACTGGGGACAAGCTTCCTGCCATCCAGGACCTCTATACCAGGCGGTGTCAGAGGAAGGCCCTAAAAATTGTCAAAGACTCCAGCCACCCTAGTCATAGACTGTTCTCTCTGCTACCGCACGGCAAGCGGTACCGGAGCGCCAAGTCTTGGTCCAAGAGGCTTCTAAACAGCTTCTATCCCCAAGCTATAAGACTCCTGAACATCTAATCAAATGGCTACCCAGACTATTTGCATTTGTGTGTGTGTGTGTGTGTGTGTGCAAGTGTATACCTCGTGATGGGTCCCTCTACAACAGGTTTGTGGAAGAAAGTGGCCAGCTTCTGAAGTGCTTCATGTCTCGCCCTGCAGAACAGACAGACAGACAGACAGACAGATAGACATCAGAATGGAGGCTATTGGACAGAATATTGTTAATAATATTAAAATCATTATCTATCTATTATGTATGTGTGACTCACTGCATGTCAATGTCATCTATGCTTGCATCACTGAGTGTGTGTTGGTGGTGGATGCTAGGCTCTCTGCTTCCTGGAGGAAGAACAAGCACACAATAATAGCCAACAACAACAACAAGCAATAGTTAGCCAAAGATATTTTAGGTATTTCAAGAGGAACAAAAAATCTAAGAAAAACAGGAATTGCAGGAAGGTTAGGCCAGTCACGGCTCATTGATAGTTAGATAGATCATTCTGTGGTTTGACTGTTGTGTTTCACTCACCCATCTCCGGCATGGACATTGTTCGGATTTGGCCGCTGTAGAAGAGAATAGAGAACGTTCATAGGTTAAACTTGCATGGATTTCGGACGCAGCTGTAATCAGACTGTTATAATAGTCAATATTGTAATATCTGCGTTATGGACTGACCTCTCTGTGGGCTCTTCGTCAATGGGGGAGGAGAGAGGTTCATCATCATCATGCGTCCACTCCTCACTGTCGTCTGTGACTGGGGGGGAGAACACACACACACACAGAGATTAATTGTTTATTTGGATCCACAATATGACACGTGTGCATGTGCACTAAATTAATGACTGTAATCAGTGAAGTACTTACAGCTGTCTGTATCTTCCTGTAGTGGGTAATGGTTGGACGTCCTGCTGTCTATACTGGCCACCTCTCCTCCCTGTTCTACCAGAGTGGTGCTGTTCTTACAGCTGATGGCCCGAGAAGCCTTCTTCCCCAGTTCCAACATCTCCTTAATGTCCAGCTCCACGTGGCTCACTGAGATGTACCCATCTACACACACACATACATATAACACATACAGATGTAGGATCTTAATTTGAGCCAAAATAATCCTGCAGCAACAGGAAATTTGAATTATTATATGTGGACATTTTTGTAGGGTTTGATACACTTTTCATTAGGGCAAATCAAGTCTGACATTTCAAATGGGAAATTACAACCTTTAGAATACTTTTTAAAACTCAAATACACTACAAGTTTGCATTTCCTGCTGTGCACCTGCTATAACTGAGATGTACTAATCTATGCACCCACATTGATATGTAAACCTATATTCAAACAACTACTCCAGATTTTGAGCCATTCATTTGACTGATTTTATGCACATCTGTATTTGTGTAGAGGTCAGAGGTCAGGGGTTAGGGAGGTGTGTAACCTACATGTATTAGTGCTGTCCCTGGCCAGCCATTTTCCTTTGGGGCAGTTTGTGGTCCGTATGATGCTGACGATGTCCCGATTCTTCACAGCCAGGTCGTTCTTACGTCCTTTAGACGCTACCATTACTGTAGCCTGGTATATAGCCTCCTTCTGACCTGTTATCTACACACACACACGTGTAAATATACTCTCAGCAGCCCATACTGTATTTACTGTAGAGGAGCGTGATTCATGTAATGTAAGTCTGTTAATCCAGTTGGGCTTTACATTAATGACATAAACTGCTAGTGGGGCTGCTACTGTTGATATTACCTTGTGTATTAATCTGTGTATTACAGAGCATATTAGTGTAGTGTGCAGTGTGTGCAGTGTATGTAGTGTGCGTACTAGCAACACTTTGATATTTATTTGATAAGTCCCACCCCTTCCCCCGTCGTTAGTATTCAGACTTGAGATCCAACTCTGACTGAAAATCATTCATTGACGTCATTGGGAGACTTGCTCAAAAATGTAAGTTAACCCTGTGTATCTCAAGTCAGAAGACATCTCTCTGTGTTATTACCATGTAAACATGTTGTTCAGATAATCTGCCATCCTGAAGGAATGAAATCACACTGGTTTCTACTGCCCGAGAATACTATTCCACCCTCCTTTCCTCTCCTCTCATCTCCCCTCCCCTCATCTCCCCTCCCCTCCTCTCCTCTCCCCTCCCCTCCTCTCATCTCCCCTTCTTTCCTCTTTTCTACCTCTCCTCTCCTCTCCTCTCCTCTCCTCTCCTCTCCTCTCCTCTCCTCTCCTCTCCTCTCCTCTCCTCTCCTCTCCTCTTAGGGTTACTTACCTTAAACTTCTTCATCTCATTTTCTTTCTTCTCTCTCTCTTTCTGCTCTTTCCTCTCTCTTTCTTTCTGTTCTTTCTTCTCCTTCTCCAGACGTTGTTTTTCTTTCTTTTTCAATTCTTTCTCATCTGGGGTTTCCGAGGCAGGTTTCTTCAAGAACCAGCCAGTCTTGAGTGTTTCTTCAGTCTGTAAACAATTGGAAGATGAGGGACATGTCTGTCAAGATCTTTAGTGGGTCATTAGATGAACACATGATAGATGCAGAGAAGTACCTGAGCGATAGATCAAGCCTTTACTGTGTGTAACACAGACCTGGGTCAAATACTTTCAAATACTGAGCTATACCCAAAATATTCCTTACCGGAAGCTGAGTCTCAGCATATGGGTCTGTGAAAGATGAAAGGAAGATAAATAGTTAAGAAAACATGATGACATCTGAGCCCATAGTTTCTGTTAATTTATCTTATTGGCTGCAGTTATGGCTAGATAAGATCCAATCATGAGTGAGAAAGCAATGTCAGTTTGTCAAGGGTTGATAGGAGAAAAGAGTAAAGGAGACAGACATCTCCACATATTAGCCTCACTGCCTGGACTACATTACATTACATTACATTACATACATTACATACAGTACACACACACACACACACACACACACACACACACACACACACACACACACACACACACACACACACACACACACACACACACACACACACAACACACACACACACATCTGACCTCATCTCTCATACCCACAGCTGGAGTGTCATATGGTGGACAGTATCTAAGGTTCTTTATGATGAGTGAGAACTTACTGTAAGGTGCCTGTGTCTTACTCTTCGCTGATCCTTTTTTTTTCTTGGTGGGTTGACCCTTGACCTTCTGCTTGGCTGAGGGCATGTCCTCATAGGCATTGTCACAGCTCTCATAGGTGCCGTCTTCTGCGTGGGCTCTGGAGAGTTGGGGGTGGGAGAACGGTCAGTCAGTGACAACAACATGACATAAGGCACTATTCTAGTGGAGAACAAGAGCTGGATATGTTCTTGAAAATTAGGTACGTTTGAGAGAGAGTAAGAGATAGCTGGTTGTGTTACCCTGCAGCTGGCTGGGAGTCCTGGCTGAAAGGGGAGGCATGGACAGTGTCCTGAAGAACCTCCACAGGAACCTCGAATGGAACCTCCACCCCCAGTTCTGATTCTGGAATCTCTCTGAATTCAACTCCAAACTCTGGAACTCCCTGGTCCTCGACTTCCGGAAGCTCCTCACCCTCTTCCAGAATCTCCTGTTCTAGAAGCACTGTCTCTGGAATGTTGTCTGCCTCTAGTGGGATAAACTCAGGGTCACCGTATTCTCCGTCCACACACTTAGACACCTCTAACTCCACTAAGTCTGCAGGCTGGAACTCCGGGGCTTCCAATTCCAGAACATTCAATCCTACTACCTCAAACTCAGGAATGTTGAGAGCAGGATCAGCTTCGGAGAACTCTGAAGGAACAGGAATCTCCACAGCTGTGAAGAGAGACAGATAGTTACTCAACAAGAATAACCACACACTGATAACACTACTCTATCCTTTCCATTTTAGTGTGTGTGTGTGTGTGTGTGTGTGTGTGTGTGTGTGTGTGTGTGTGTGTGTCTGGGAATGTGAGATATCCAGTGTGAGGAGAAGTTGGTGGGATGTACCATAGGCAGTCAAGTCCACGGAGGGGAGTCGGGGGGGTTTCTCTGGCAGGGGTCCCTGGATGGAAGCATTCGGGAGGCGCTTTCTCGGGGGAGGAGGGGGCACCACAAACAGGTCTGGTAGCATGTCCCTTGCCCCCTCCTCTGCTATCTCCTCCAACACAGGAGACGCCTGCCCTAAAGAGAGAGAGAGAGAGAGAGAGAGAGAGAGAGAGAGAGAGGGAGGGAGAGAGAGGGAGAGAGGGAGGGAGAGAGGGATGGAGAGAGGGAGAGGTTCAATACTAAGAAAGCTAAAGCAGTGAAACCTACAGTGTAGGTTATAGTGTTGTTGTAGTGTAACTCTGTGAAGTCAAACACCTATGGCCTCTCTAGAAGGCTTTGTTAAATCTGAAGACAATGACAGCAGTACCCAGTCATGCAGACTATGACAGACACGCTGTTCCTCTACACCACAGTGACAGTGATAGTTTAAATACCTCCTCTACTCCACCCTACTCTCCCCCTCTCCCGTTCTCCTCCTCTACTCCGCCCTACTCTCCCCCTCTCTTCCTCCCCCTTTCCTCCTCATCCACCCTACTCTTCCCCTCTCCTCTCTCTCCCCCTCCGCCCTCCTCAGGACAGAGTTGTTTATGGCTCTGAGAGGTAGAGAGGTATTTTACCTGCTCTGCTGTTTAGTGTCTGCAGCATTGCAACAACACCCATTGTCTTACCTGGGGTGTAAGGGATGAGCTGCACTCCTGTGTACTTCATGTTCAGAGTACAAAAGCAGGGTGAACAGAAGATGGAAAGAGAGAGAGAGGAAGAGAGAGAACAGGGGTCTCAGGGAGAGAGATGTACAGAGAAAGAGAGGGAGAGAACCAGAGAGACACTTACTAATGCCAATACCGTTGACCAGGGCCGGTTTCAGGGGTGTAGGGGCCGCCGCCCCTGCCTGGTCATTGTAGTCGATTGGTGGGAGCTCAGGCAGGGATATCACGGGGGTGGGGCTCGTCAGAGGGCTGGGGGGAAAAATAGTAGTTAATAATAACATAATAATAACAATATGGTCATTTAGCAGACTATTTTATCCAAAGTGACTGGGGGATGAGCGATGGACAGGAAACGCTACACCCCAAGACCAATCCTCCCCTCTCGCTAATCAATATGTAAACACACCTGATCCATGTTACCTGATTCCCTGTCTGACTGGCCCGGTATACACTACCGGTCAAAAGTTTTAGAACACCTACTCATTCAAGGGTTTTTCTTTATTTTTAGTATTTTCTACATTGTAGAATAATAGTGAAGACATCAAAACTATGGAATAACACATATGGAATCATGTAGTAACCAAAAAAGTGTTAAACAAATCTAAATATATTTTATATTTGAGATTCTTCAAATAGCCACCCTTTGCGTTGGTGACAACTTTGCACACTCTTGGGATTCTCACAACCAGCTTCACCTGGAATGCTTTTCCAACAGTCTTGAAGGAGTTCCCACATATGCTGAGCACTTGTTAGCTGCTTTTCCTTCACCATCTCAATTGGGTTGAGGTCGGGGGATTGTGGAGGCCAGGTCATCTGATGCAGCACTCCATCACTCTCCTTCTTGGTTAAATAGCCCTTACACAGCCTGGAGGTGTGTTGGGTCATTGTCCTGTTGAAAAACAAATGACAGTCTCACTAAGCCCAAACCAGATGGGATGGCGTATCGCTGCAGAATGCTATGGTAGCCATGCTGGTTAAGTGGAATTCTAAATAAATCACAGACAGTGTCACCAACAAAGCACCCCCACACCATAACACCTCCTCCTCCATGCTTTATGTTGGGAAATACACATGCGAAGATAATCCGTTCACCCACGTCTCACAAAGACACGGCGGTTGGAACCAAAAATCTCCAGTTTGGACTCCAGACCAAAGGACACATTTCCACCAGTCTAATGTCCATTGCTCGTGTTTCTTGGCCCAAGCAAGTCTCTTCTTCTTATTGGTGTCCTTTAGTAGTGGTTTCTTTGAAGCAATTCGACCATGAAGGCCTGATTCACACAGTCTCCTCTGAACAGTTGATGTTGAGATGTGTCTGTTACTTGAACTCTGTGAAGCATTTATTTGGGCTGCAATTTCTGAGGCTGGTAACTCTAATGAACTTATCCTCTGCAGCAGAGGTAACTCTGGGTCTTCCATTCCTGTGGCGGTCCTCATGAGAGCCAGTTTCATCATAGCGCTTGATGGTTTTTGCGACTGCACTTGAAGAGACTTTCAAAGTTCTTGGAATTTTCCGCATTGACTGACCGTCATGTCTTAAAGTAATGATGGACTGTCGTTTCTCTTTGCTTATTTGAGCTGGTCTTGCCATAATATGGACTTGGTCTTTTACCAAATCTTCTGTATACCCCACTACCTTGTCACAACATAATTGAATGGCTCAAACGCATTAAGAAGGAAAGAAATTCCACAAATTAACTTTTTACAAGGCACACCTGTTAATTAAAATGCATTCCAGGTGATTATCTCATGCAGCTGGTTGAGAGAACGCCAAGAGTGTGCAAAGCTGTCATCAAGGCAAAGGGTGGCTATAAACTATATTTTGATTTGTTTAACACTTCTTTGGTTACATGATTCCATATGTGTTATTTCATAGTTTTGATATCTTCAATATTATTCTACAATGTAGAAAATAGTAAAAATAAAGAAAAACCCTTGAATGAGTAGGTGTTCGAAAACTTTTGACCGGTAGTGTATGTTAGGACAGTGCTAATTTAATTAAAATAAAACACTTAAATATCACATTTACATAAGTATTCAGACCCTTTACTCAGTACTTTGTTGAAGCACCATTGGCAGCGATTACAGCCTTGAGTCTTCTTGGGTATGATGCTACAAGCTTGGCACACCTGTATTTGGGGAGTTTCTCCCATTCTTCTCTGCAGATCCTCTCAAGCTCTGTCGGGTTGAATGGAGAGCCGCGCTGCACAGCTATTTTCAGGTCTCTCCAGAGATGTTCGACCGGGTTCAAGTACGGGCTCTGGCTGGGCTACTCAAGGACATTCAAAGACTTGTCCCGAAGCCACTCCTGCGTTGTCTTGGCTGTGTGCTTATGGTCATTGTCCTGTTGGAAGGTGAACCTTTGCCCCAGTCTGAGGTCCTGAGAGCTCTGGAGGAGGTTTTCATCAAGGATCTCTCTGTACTTTGCTCCGTTCATCTTTCCCTCGATCCTGACTAGTCTCCCAGTCCCTGCCGCTGAAAAACATCCCCACAGCATGATGCTGCCACCACCATGCTTCACCGTAGGGATGGTGCCAGGTTGCACGTGACGCTTGGCATTCAGGCCAAAGAGTACAATCTTGGTTTCATCAGACCAGAGAATCTTGTTTCTCATGGTCTGAGAGTCCTTTAGGTGCCTTTTGGCAAACTCCAAGTGGGCTGTCATGTGCCTTTTACTGAGGAGTGGCTTCCGTCTGGCCACTCTACCATAAAGGCCTGATTGGTGGAGTGCAGCAGAGATGGTTGTCCTTCTGGAAGATTCTCCCATCTCCACAGAGGAACTATGGAGCTCTGTCAGAGTGACCATCAGGTTCTTGGTCACCTCCCTGACCAAGGCCCTTCTCCCTCGATTGCTCAGTTTGGCCAGGCGGCCAGCTCTAGGAAGAATCTTGGTGGTTCCAAGCTTCTTCCATTTAGGAATGATGGAGGTCACTGTGTTCTTGGGGACCTTCAATGCTGCAGAAATGTTTTGGTACCCTTCCCCAGATCTGTGCCTCGACACAATCCTGTCTCTGAGCTCTACGGACAATTCCTTCGACCTCATGGCTTGGTTTTTACTCTGACATGCACTGTCAACTGTGGGACCTTATATAGACAGGTGTGTGCCTTTCCAAATCAAGTCAAATCAATTGAATTGACCACAGGTGGACTCCAATCAAGTTGTAGAAATATGATCAATGGAAACCGGATGCACCTGAGCTAAATTTCGAGTCTCATTGCAAAGGGTCTGAATACTTATATAAGATATTTCAGTTTTGCAAAAATTTCTAAAAACCTGTTTTCACTTTGTCATTATGGTGTATTATGTGTAGATTTATGATTTTTTATTTATTTAATCTATTTTAGAATAAGGCTGTAACGTAACAAAATGTGGAAAAAGACAAGGGGTCTGAATACTTTCCGAATGCACTGTATATGTTAAGGTTGATGATAGTGTTAATGTATATGTATTGAAGGTATATTGTGTACCTGGTGAGCTTCCTCTTGGCTTTCTCCAGAGCATTGAAGATTTTCTCTGATCCTCTTTTTTTTGGTGGACTTATCTCCTCTGCTCGCCCTAGAGCCAACAGGACCGAGAGTGGCCGTTCCTGGACCCGCACGGGCCTCTCAGGCTGGGGGGATGGGGGTGTGACTGGGGGGTCACCCGCCGGGGGAGGGGGGGTATGAGAGGGAAGTGGAGAGGCAGAGGTCTCGACTATAACAGGTGGAGGTGGGGTGGAGGTAGAGGGTGGAGGTGGGATGGGGGTAGCAGGGGGTATAGGGGTGACTGGGAGAGTTGGTATTGGGCTGGATGGGGCAGGAACAGGGGAAGGGCTAGGGCAGACTGATTCTGGCAGGGTGGGGGCTAGGATGGTTTCAGATGGGGTTTTAGGAGTGAGGGTTTCATGGATATGATCAATGATAGGAGGGTCAGGGATCACTGGGATGGGGTCGGGTGGTGTAACGACTGTAATGGCTTCAGCTGCTGGTGCAGGTTTCAGGGTGGGGGGTAACAGGGTAAATACTGGGTTATGAGACAGCTCTGGGGGTAAGGGGGAATCTAGTACTGGGGCAGGTATCGGGGCAGGGGGTAAGTGAACAATGTGTACTGCTGGGGAAGGTGGGATAATGGCGGTACATATGGGTATATCAACAGGGGGGGCTGGGGTTCCGAAGGTGGTTAGAGGCATGAGAGGTTCAGGGCCAGCCAGGTCTGGGCTGGCTATGTCCAGTATGGGGAAAGGAGGATGCTCACCTTTCCCCGCTTTCCCCTTCTTCCCTGTTTTCACTGACTTCCTGATGTCCAGAAAACCCTTCTTTTTTGTTGTGTTTATGGGCGGTGGTGACGCATCTACCAGCTTAACACTGCCCCCCTTATACCCCCCAGGGGACAGCAGGGACACCTTCTTGTTCTTCATGGCCTTCATGACCAGGTCTGCTTCTTTCTTCTGTTTCTGGTCCAGCAGATCTGACCTCACCGCTACTTCTACAATATCTTTCCCTCCATTAATCCTTTCATTGCCCTTTACCTTCTTCTCCTTCTCCTCCTTGCCGAAGACTCTGGGTGCGATGCCCCCCTTCCCCTGGAGGGAGGAGAGGAGGGAGGGTCGAGCCCTGGGCCGTAGGGAGTGTGAGTTGGAGGGTGTGTGTGATGTGGGGTTGAGGGAAGGAAGGGAGTTTGTCGGGCTGTGAGGAGGAAGTAGGACTTTAGGTTTCTCAGGGAGGGCAGATTTGGTCCTGGGCTGCTTCAGCACCAACACTTCCTCATCCTGGAACTTTGCCCTCAAGGACTTGAAGTCCAGAAAGTCTTCTTCCTATCAGACAGAGAAAGGAGGGGAGGACATTTCAAACTTGTAGTGTATTTGAGGTTTAAAAAGGCTTCTGATGTTTGTAATTTCCACTTTGAATTGATTTTCCCTTATGAAAAATGTAGCAACCCCTACAAAAATGTAATTCATTATAATCCACATAATAATTCACATTTCCTGTTGCTGCAGGATAATTTTCCTGCTGTAGCAAACTGGCTCAAATTAAGATCTTACATCTGTATCTCTGTCTCTTTTCACAGTCTAATTCAACATGAGATAAAACAAACTAAGTGACCGGATCATTATTTTCAAGGTGGGGTACACAACCCCCAAAGCATCATCCAGACCCTCTGGCACCAAAACTGCCAATAGAAACCCATAGAAGCCTAGTTCCTTTAGGTGAGGGCCTGGGGGCAATAGAACTATAGGTCAGGGGCCCCGGGCTTGTATGTGTGTGTGTGTGTGTGTGTGTGTGTGTGTGTGTGTGTGTTGACGGACTAGTCACCAGTTCTAGCATGAATCACTCTGGGCTGCTATACCACATGATGACTCTGCCATCTATCCATCCACACACACGCACGCACACACACACACACACACACACACACACATACAAGCCCGGGGCCCCTGACCTATAGATAAAGTCAGAGATTTTATATCAAATGTGAAGTTATTACAAAAAGTGTTGCCCTTACCTGCATTAAATCATGTGACATTTAAACAATAAAGCCACATATAGCAATAAACCAGAGAGAAGAAGCACCTAATAGTTTTTGAGACAAGCAGAATGGGCGTCATGCCAACTCCCTATCTGACTACACAGTAATTACAAATTAAACTGTGGCACAGGACTGAAACTGTATTCATGGTAACGACCTTCATTATAGGTGATTGGGGTTGGTTGTCACACTTTGTAATCGTGTGTGTATTTCTCATCACCAGTCTATCTTACAAGCCTCTTTTCAATATTAATAGAAAGACCAAGGTCTTGGGTTAAAATAGGGACCCCTTTTATCCTCATATCTTATTCCAACATGGAGTTACAAGCCATCGATCACACTTTGTCCACTTGTGACAACCAGCCCCATCGCGGGGTTGGTTGTCACACAGTATGGGGTTGGTTGTCACACAGTATGGGGTTGGTTGTCACACAGTATGGGGTTGGTTGTCACACAGTATGGGGTTGGTTGTCACACAGTATGGGGTTGGTTGTCACACAGTATGGGGTTGGTTGTCACAATGTTTGCTACTACTTTATTCCTTGAATGAAGCAATATAGTATACGGATTCTTAGAAATAGCCTTTTTTTGATGGAACAGCATTGCTTGCTGTTTGGGCTTTTAGGCTGGGTTTCTGTTTAGCACTTTGTGAGCATCTGGTGATGTAAAAAGGGCTTTATAAATACATTTGATTGATTGATTGATATTCCCAACAAAATTCTGCCCCTCACCTCAATGTTTTGTCATGCTGACATTAATTGTGCAGGTGGATGAGTTCTTTCAAAGAATTCACACATGTTAATTGTACAATTATCACACACCACCCTCTAGATTGGGAGTAATAAGCAGAGACAACCAACCTCGGTCTCCGCTATACCGAGACGGCGCTGTGTGAGTGCAAGGGAGAGAGTAAATGAGAAGAGCCCAGTACTGAAAGTGTAATAACACCAAACAAAGGTCTTACCTGGTCCATCGTGCCTAATTCCACCAGGGTGAGAGACAGCTATGGGTAGCCTTGTTCCACCTCTCTTCTATTTCTCCAGGTGTCAGCTTCAGCCTCTCATTCTGGCTATTTCATGTAACGTCCTTACACCAAGCAGTTACACAAAACAATCAACGCAATAACTCTGAATAACTTTCTCCAGTGTCAACAGTCCAGGAGGCTACGGGTAAATGTTACTGTTGTCAACTAATAGACGACTGGGCTAGTCTACATACCTCTACATGAAACATGTATGCACTCACTACCTGTAAGTCGCTCTGGATAAGAGCGTCTGCTAAATGACTAATATGTCAAATGTACACTCTCTGTCAGCATGTGCTCCTTAGCTTCAGGGATGGATGGTTTCGGTCTCGGATTGAAGTCATGTTGGAATTCTCTCTCTTGCACTCAAATAATTATTCACGCGTACATCGCAGAAACGGTCGGTCCAGCTAAACGGGTCAGCCAGCCAGCGGGTATCGTGGTGTCTGTCGAGAGCTCAATGCATTTCAACCGAACGTGCATGATTAACTTTCTGACAGCTTTCATCCAACAGGAATGCCGTCTGACAGGTGTGCGTGTCATGACTCGCAGCTGGTGCCATAGAAGCGCGATTGTTGACAAACCACAAAGAAATGCTCATTAAACTTGTTTCCCCCTTCTTTATCAAGATAGGCTATTACACGTCGGTCATATGACAAATGTTGGGCAAACAGGTAAATGACAGATGTGATAGCCTATATCCTATTGTGTGTGCCTATTAATATGCCAGTGATACAGTATATTTAGGCCTAGACCCATGTTGCCTATAGCTGTATTAAATATTCTAGACAAACAGAGACATAGAAAAGGGACACAGCTTGGGGAGTCTGTCAGCATTCCAAAGTAGACAACAGGGGTATTTAAACTGCATTCCAAAGACACATGGAAACATACAGATTTCAATGGATATGTACAAACTTGGACATAATCATACATGTTATGTTTACATAATGATATGGCTATTTAGAGAAACATACATATGTCATACTGTAGGATATTATTCATACAATTGGTATACTAAACCATCATTAAAGCCATCCTTTGTTGACAGATGTGTGTCAGTGTCTGTCAGGCAGGTGAGAGAAGGGGCACACACACACACACACAGTGATCACCCAGACCCAGCTGCCATTGGGATGTGTTTAATAGTAACAGTAATACATGGTGGAGACGTAAATCAACAGAAAATAAATAATTATTCTAAAAATCCACTGTAGAATGCTGTCGTATTCATAAAGATAAAAATAATGTGTCAATTTACATTAAGAAAACGTTATCTGAGGTAAGCATAAAATATGTCTAGAAATATTATGTAATCAAACAGCATGTTTTCCTTTTAGTCTTCTTCTTCTTCTTCTTCTTCTTCTTCTTCTTCTTCTTCTTCTTCTTCTTCTATTGTCCAAACAAAGTTATTCAAGGTGTCAGTCCAGATGAGTCTAATTACACAGAGACTTTGGCCATAAAATAGGGAGTCATTGGCATCACAGTTGATGTAGTACTAGCAGTAGCACAGACAGACAGACAGACAGGTTAGGGGCCGATGACAGACAGCTGTGAGTGTCTGATGTGGTTGTGATGATGGGTAAGGGTCCTGTCACTCAGACTGAGGGATGATATGAAGCATGGAGGTGGTGATAGTATGACTGTAAGAGGTTACAGGGTACATCAGTGGGAACGTGTTATTGGCACATGGATATTGATAAACATGGATATTGATAAACATGGGCATTGATAAACATGGATGTTGATAAACATGGATGTTGATAAAGATGGGCATTGATAAACATAGATATTGATAAACATGGATGTTGATAAACATGGATATTGATAAACATGGATGTTGGTAAACATGGGCATTGATAAACATGGATGTTGATAAAGATGGGCATTGATAAACATGGATATTGATAAACATGGATGTTGATAAACATGGATATTGATAAACATGGAGGGCTGCGGTATAGACAAGGGCTGGGTTAGGGAAAGACACTTAACAACATCCAGAAACCTGGACAAACAGACAGACAAAGGAGATCTTGGTATTGCTTGTTACCTTCTGGTTGCATAACTGAAGCCTGGCTATTTTATGGCACAGAAGTCTGTGGACAGAATGATCATTGTTGTTGTTATTATTATTATTATTTACAAAATTAGTTTGGCAAATCGACAATCAGCTCTCTTAAAGCCTTGTGACTGTATAACTCCAGGAAAGCTGACTCCAGCGGCTTGATTGACTTATAAAATAAAAACTCAATTTCAATTTTTCTGTTTTAATCTATATTGTACAAAATCTATTATAGAGAATGAGCAATTCATTCACAGAATCAGTTAGTTTGGCAACATCCATCCGAAGCCCGGCACTGTCCGATAGTTTGGCAATGTTCGTTCATGCCAGGCGATGTCTGTTAGGTTGGCAACATCCATGCCCCAGTGTCCATTCACTTTGAAGCCTTCCCTTTCTCTCTGAGTCAGTCTGAGAAGAGACATTTGGAAAAACACTGTGTGTGTGTGTGTGTGTGTGTGTGTGTGTGTGTGTGTGTGTGTGTGTGTGTGAGCAGCTCCCAGAGAGTCTGTTTCTGCATAGTGATCCAGCAGACACTCACATAAAGGGGAAACACCCAAACAGATGTCAAGATCCCAATAAACCGGCCAATCAGAAATAAGGATCTCAGTATACCAGTCCATACCAGGATCCACTTGCTACAGACACTATGTCTGATACCGCTGTGTGTGTGTGTGTGTTGGGAAAGGAGACAATGCTTGGCCCAGTCCCCCTTTGGCAGCATAGTCTCTAGCAATGCTTGATATAGAGAGAGGGTGAGAGGGCGAGAGGGTGAGAGGGCGAGAGAGAAAGAGAGAGCGAGTAGAATGAAAGGCGAGTAGATGGAGCGTTCCATCCTTTGTTAGAGGGGACGCCAGGCTGCTGCTTGAGATGGGTAACACACATACACACACAGCCCCGGGGCCCCCGACCTATAGTTCTATTGCCCCCAGGCCCTCACCTAAAGGAATTAGGCTTCTATGGGTTTCTATTGGCAGTTTTGGTGCCAGAGGGTCTGGACGATGCTTTGGGGGTTGTGCACCCCACCTTGAAAATAATGATCCGGTCACTTAGTTTGTTTTATCTCATGTTGAATTAGACTGTGAAAAGAGACAGAGATACAGATGTAAGATCTTAATTTGAGCCAGTTTGCTACAGCAGGAAAATAATCCTGCAGCAACAGGAAATGTGAATTATTATGTGGATTATAATTAATGACATTTCTGTAGGGGTTGATACATTTTTCATAAGGGAAAATCAAGTCAAAATAAATTCAAAGTGGAAATTACAAACTTCAGAAGCCTTTCTAAACCTCAAATACACTACAAGTTTAAAATGTCCTGCAAGTTCTCCTGCAACAGGGTGATCCTACATCTGTAGAGTGGGCTCAACGATAACCTGGGATTTTAAATTCTATTATAATCCCTTAGTCTTTCTCAGGTATGAGGTACCTGTTTTCAACCCATCTCACCCCCCCCCCCCCCCCCTCCTTTCTCTGTCTGACAGGAAGAAGACTCTCTGGACTTCAAGTCCTTGAGGGCAAAGTTCCAGGCTGAGGAAGTGTTGGTGCTGAAGCAGCCCAGGACCAAATCTGCCCTCCCTGAGAAACCTGAAGTCCTGCTTCCTCCTCACAGTCCTACAAACTCCCTTCCTTCCCTCAACCCCACATCACACACACCCTCCAACTCACACTCCCTACGGCCCGGAGCTCGACCCTCCCTCCTCTCCTCCCTCCAGGGGAAGGGGGGCATCGCACCCAGAGTCTTCGGCAAGGAGGAGAAGGAGAAGAAGGTAAAGGGCTAAGACAAGGATGAGGGGAAGGTGAAATTACTAGGTAAAGAGAAGGCAGAGGCAAAGGCTGATAAAGAGAAGGTGTGCCCACACACACATCAGGTTGGTTGGTCAGCGTTGGCAGGTCAGTCCAGTGTTCAGTGTGTCTCTTTATTTCCTCCCTTTGTTGATCTGGGCGTAGAGAGGATCCTTCCCCTGCAGACAGAGATCCTTCCCCTGCAGACAGAGAGGAGCTACAGTTAGCATTAGCATGACCCACTGGGTCTGAACGCAGGTCAGCTATTCCCTAGTAGTCTATCTACTCCCTAGTAGTCTATCTACTTCCTCTACTCACAGACCCTTTCTCCAGCTGCAACACATGCAGTTCCTGTTGTCAACACCAGATGGCAGTAGCACCCTGCTGGAGACAGAGAGACCAGCCATGTTGCCGAGGCTGAGGGTATTGCTGGACAGAGAGTGTGTAGCCCCAATCCCAAATGGACCCCTAAACCTTACCTAAACCCTATGCACTTATGAAGATCTGAGAGGATTTTGTTGGTATAAGCAATATGGTGAAACTTCCACCTAGCCTATCAGAGCGCAAGTTGGCGCTATTACACCTGTCAAATCCTCTCCACAAGTGCATAGGGCGTAGGGTTTTGGGGTCCATTTGGGATTGGGCCCTCATTTGTGTGTGTTCTCTCTCCACCCACCTCAGCTTGTCAGATCCTAACTTTGAACAATGGATCTATCACTGTCGGAGTGTTTGTGTGTGTACACGTGCGTGCATGTGTGCGTGTGTGCATGTGCATGTGTGTGTGACACACACTGCTGTCTACCTCCCTCCTACAGCAGTGTGTGAGTATGTGTGGGAGACATATCACAGCAGGTTTGATGGAGATGTCTACAGACTACAACAGTCAGAGCAGGCCTGTGTTATTATCATACACATAATTGCACTGCAGTCAGCCTGACAGCAGGGAGTTACATAGGTTCACTCTGACACGTGATTGACTGATTGGTCCAGCCCTTCCATATTTGACTCCTGAGTGGAATTGCCATATTTGAGAATTCTATTGTATGCAGAGGGAACCTTTGAGTGTGTGAGTCAAATAAATGTACATTTGTGTGTATGTCAGTATGTGGCCCAGTGATTAGACCACAAACATACCACTGGCCTCTCTCCTCCTACTCTTCCTCCTCCTACTCCCCCCTCTCTCCCCCCCTCCTGCTCCTCAGTGATTGGGTTTAGTGTTCTTCCTGGATATGACTGAATGCTAATTCATATCACCCAGTTATTAGTGGTGGCAGCCCAGTATTACTGATAGAAACACTGTCATTACATAGTTCCATGTGTGTGGGCCTGACTGACTGACACCACCTATCATTACACCCACACTATAGGCAGCTTGCTTGTGTGTGTGTGTGTGTGTGTGTGTGTGTGTGTGTGTGTGTGTGTGTGTGTGTGTGTGTGTGTGTGTGTGTGTGTGTGTGTGTATGTGTGTGTGATAAAGGGAAGCCACAGCCATAGGAGGAAAGTCTCTTCAATACAACACTGACTCTATCTCTAACCCTGAACTGCAGTCCAGGACATATACATCTGACATCATATTACATTTGACATCATATAACATCATAAACAGTACAGTATATACACTGAGTGTACAAAACATTGAGGACACCTTCCTAATATTGAGTCCGTCCCCCCCATTCGAGACAAACAGACTGACATCATGACAGCGTGGCCATGCATGGTGAGTTTTAAACACACACACAGTCCTTTATTGAGATACTCACACACCTCTGGTGGCTATAGGGAGAGAGAACACATAGTCCCAAAAAGACGCAACACACACAACAAACACACACACTGACGCAGAACCACACACATGCGCAGATGCATAATCACACAACACAACCACAGGCAGTCAGACACACCATGCTATCATCAGAGGATGCAGCAGACAGGATAAGAGAGAGCACAATAAAAAGGGAAGACTGGAGAGAGAGAGAAAGAGAGAGAGAGAGAGAGTAGAGAGGGTGAACAGAAGATCAGTAAAGGTGTGTGTGGAGAAGGCAGGCTTACAGAAAGCAGAGGAAGGAGGGAGGAGAGCAAGGATGGATGGATAGATACCTACCCAGCATATATCTAGCTGTCGGCAGGTGGACTGGTTTGGGCTGGACTAGAACCTGCTGTCTCACTGGGACAAGGAGACCCAGACTCACACGCCTGGAGAGAGGGAGGGAGGAGAGGAGAGGAGTAGAGAGGAGAGGAGAATAGTAGATTAGAGGAGAGGAGAGGAAGGGGAAGGGAGAGGAGAGGAGAGGAAGGAGAGGATTTAGGAGAGGAGAGGATTGGAAAAGATTGTTTCCTTTGGTCATTCTCTGTTTTGACATCCCTTCGCCCCCTTCCCCCCCTTTTAAAAAAAAAAAAAAATTCCCCCCCTCCCTCCCCTCCCCCTCCCCTCCCCCCTCCCTCCCTCCCCCCTTTTTAAAAATCACCTGTTTTGTTGGCCGCCGGTAAAAAAAGGGGTTCCCCCCCGGGCAGGGTGTCCTTTTTTTAAAAGGGGAAAAGGGCCAGACACCAGACACCCAACACACCCGCACCCCAGACAAACCCGACACGCCACAGCCCCCCACGCACCGGGCACACAAACACAGACACAACGCCCCCCCCCCAGGGTTTTAAAAAAATTTTTTGGGTCCACTCCCATTGATCCCTAAACCTTCACTCTTTCCCCCTCCTCACCACAGAAGAGTGGGAGGGCCCGTTTCATTCGGTTTTCTCCCCCTTCTCTCCCATACAGGCCTGTTTCATTCAGTTGCGTAAAGCGTAATGTTGACTGTTGCTGTCGAGAGCACTCAACTGACATCTCTAATGGTGAGAACGCCCTACTTTTCTTCCCCCCTCTCTCTCTCTCTCCTCTTCCTCTTTCTCTCTCCCCTCTCCTGCTCTCTCTCTCTCCCCTCTTCCCTCTTTTCTCTCTTTTCCCCTTTTCTCTCGGGTTTTCCTCTCTCTCCTCTTCTCTCTCTCTCTCTTTTCTCTCCTCCCCCATTCCGGGGGTTTTTTCCCCTCTCCCTCTCTCGTCTCTCTCCCTCTTCTCTCTCTTCTCTCTCTCTTCTTTTTCCTCTCTCTTTTTCTTTCCCTTTCCCCCTTTTTTTTTGTTTTCCTCAACAGGAATATGAGCTCCACTGGCTCAGCTGAGTCACACTTCTTTCAGAAGATAGAGTACTTGGGAGTTGACTGACTGGCTTAGAATCAACGGTAGAAGGCATCGCTTCCAATTCAGTTTTTTTCACCATTGTCAGGTTTGTGACTCCAGTGCTTTCATTTAAATAGTCTCCCATTCCTCTCTCTATGTATCTCTGTCTCACTGCCCTGTTTCTGTACCTCTCTCTCTCTCTCTCTCTCTCTCTCTCTCTCTCTCTCTCTCTCTCTCTCTCTCTCTCACTCTCTCTCACTCTCTCTCACTCTCTCTCACTCTCTCCTTCTCTCCCTCTCTTGAATCCAGGTGTATAATAAATATTAATTGCCCTAGAAAAGACCCTAGTTCATCAGTTGAATAATAACAGGGTGCTATAGAGCAAGTGATGTATGGAGCTACCTGCTATCATTAATAACATCCTAATGATCTGACACCTCCAGCAGCTCATTTAACACTTTACTGGCCACACATACACACCACACACACACACACACACACACACACACATGTACACACACACAGGCCAGCCACAAGAGTAGCCAATCACAGAGAGTGATTACCTAGTCCAACGTGCTGATACACAGCCTATTCATCAACAGATCTCATTTCACACACACACACACACTCACACACACTCACACACACTCACACACACACACACACACACACACACACACACACACACACACACACACACACACACAGGTACTCACCGCATCCTCCTCTCCACTTCGGCTTGGACTGCCCTCGACCTCGCCGAACGAGTCATCTGTGGGGGGGTCGGTGGCGTCTGTGGTGGGGTCACTGATATGGTCAATGTGGTCACTAACATGAGACGACGCCGATTTAGACGGAGAACTCTGTCTGGGGGCCGGGGTCGGAGCTGGGGAAGGAGAGGGGGAGGGGTGGAGAGGGAGAGAGATGGGGTGGAAGTGCAGAGAGTCAGCATTCTTCTTGAGTTTAAATCAGATAAAATACCTCCCCAGCAACTGTCTCTCTGTAGTTTTATTGATGATGACAAATTACAATTAATAAAATGAGATACATAAAATCTAAAAGAAAAGGGAGTTGAGGCAAAGATGGAGGTAGAGCGGTATGAGGGGTGGAGGGAGGAGGGAACTTCCAAACAGAGCGTAATCTGGCTATAAACACAAATCAAACCGCCATGACTGTGTACATACGTGAGTTAGTGGAGGGCGTGGTGGATGTGACAGGAGTGAGGTTGAGCTGAGAGATGTCAAAGTCGTCACAGTCGTCTGTATCGGTGGCGGTCCCCACGCGGTTGAAATAGGAGCTGAAGGCCTCCGAGGTCCCAGCTAGACAGTGGTGCTGGTCCCCCATTTTAGCTGGCATGGCAGGGGGCTTCACTAGCTGGAAGTCCTTAAACATCTCCTACAGAGAGTGCAGAAGATGTTAAAGACACACTATGAAAAATGTTGGCCAATAAAAAGCTATTGTATAGAGCTTTTGCGTCTTGGCCAGGCCATTACTATCAATGTGAATTGGTTCTCCATTGACTTGCTTGGTTATAGAATGTTTAAATAAAATACATTGAATAAAATTATCCTACCTTGCTCATCTTCTGCTGCTGCCTCTCTGCATGCTGTGGACTTGAGGCTGATGAGGGGGTGGGGTTAGAGGCAGCACTGGCAGATGATAGGCTGTCGCAGGGTTGATTGACAGGGAGGAACATGGCAGGCAGAGACCCTGGCTGGGCTGGGAGGTAGGCTGTAGCAGGGAACCCTAGATACAGGACAATACACTTTACTGTGTGTGTGTGTGTGTGTGTGTGTGAGCATGCGTGCGTTAGTTCATCCCTGTGTGTGTGTGTGTGTGCGTGCGTGCGTGCATACATACATGTTTGTGTCTGTGTGTATATACCTGCTCCCGTCATGGCGGCCCACTGCTGCTGTGTAGCAGGGAAGAGGTTGGCCTGGCCCCAGATGAGAGGCTGGCCTCCAGGCATGACCTGGGCCACAGGGAGGGACTGACCCAGGGGGGACTGGACTCCAAACAGAGGACCTGCTTGGGCAGCAAACGCCTGCTGCGACCACACCTGACCTGGAGGTACCGCTCCCATCGCCACGTAACCTGGACAGAGAGAGGAGACGAGCGAGTTATACACACACACACACACACACACACACACACACACACACACACACACACACACACACACACACACACATATATAAACACACAGAGTACCCCATGTACCACTGCAGTACAGTGACCTACCTTAGCCTGTAGTTAATATTGTGTCTTAATGGTCCTGCTGAACTATGATCATTACGTCCACAATGAGCCTCAGTCATTATCATACATAGATCTACTCAGACAGTCACACAGACTCATTATAACTCTCAGACTCATCTCTTCTCAGAGCTGCTTATTCCAGCTCTGCTGCAAAGAGGAGAGGAGAGATGAGTTCCTACCTGAGGGTACAGAGGCGGGGTTGAAGGGGTTGAAGAGTTCCGTGAGGGGCTGCAGGCCCAGAGAGGTGTCCAGGGTGTTGGCTGGAGAGGCAGGGGTCTGGGGGAGGAGAGGGTGAGGGAAAGGGAGAGGAACAGGTTAAAAACACTTTACACCCACAGGTGGCAGGCCAAACAGCCAAACAGACACACAGACACACACTTACACTACAGTTCACTGTATGCTTGATTCGTACCAGCCAATACAAACAACATGATTCCTCCATCAGCTAAACCAGGTCAAAGGTCATGAGAGGTAGAGAGGAGGGGGGGTGTACTCACCGAGGGTGAGTAGATGTCCGGGAGTGTGGAGATGTCTCCGAAAAGCTCTAATTGGTTGATATTCTGCCAATCAGAAAGAGAGTTCACAGCCGTCAGACGTCATGGCTACAATAGCAACGTACAGCATTGCGTGTCCCAACATACATGCAACACCTTTCACGAAAACACGGAACACGCAACATGCCTCACGCAACCAGGTACCTACCTCTGTCGGGCACAGTGACATCATCAAACAGCGCCACAGGTAGACGGACAGGGACGCGTTAGATGATGATGTCATGGAGTAATATTATTGGTGGAGGTGACATACCTACCAAATTCAAGTTACTCTGAACTACAAATCTCAATATCCTCTCATATCTCTCTATATATACACACACCTCTCTTTCTTCAAAATCCCTCTCTTTCATATCTATCTATTTAACATGTCTCTTTTTTTTACATCAATCTCTTTCTAACATTAATAAGGTCTTTATCCCTGTGGTGACTGGAGAAAATAAGAGTCTTTTTTTAGTTATTAAAGTTGTGAGGATTTACATGGTCAGAGATTAGCAAAAATCAGAGCCCTCTATAGAGATACATATAGCTCCAGTATATTGCTGTATAGGGTTCTGGGGATAATGTCTGCACAGATAACAACGTCTGCCTTCTGGCTCCGCTAGTTAAACTAATAGGTCACACATAGACCATGACGCTCTTATTATATTCCAATGCTTAAAGTGTGTGTGTGTGTTCTACTTCTTTCTATCTATCAGATAATGGATCAGAGAGCGTGTCGTTTCTAGCCATACAGATGAATGGAGTATCTGTGCTGTTAGTGAGAGAGGAGGACAGAGGAGGAGTTCAGTTAACTACTATTACTGACTGATAGAAAGCCACTGAGGAAGATAGTGTATATACTGTACACTGATGCTATTCTGTCTTTCTTTTAACTGAACCTACTGACACCTATGATAGTGTTAGTTTGAATCTCCCAGAGCTGAGGGAGGGTCACTTCTGGCCTCTGTGGTCAATGTGGTCACTGTAGTGTGTTACTAATGTGACTGTGACCATTGTGTAAGGGCTGCATCCACAAAGCACCCTTTCCAAGTATGAGTGCATACTTTTTGACCGAGGCCCATAACGTAGACTGGCGTTAAACGAGCTGGTATATCCTCTGAGTACAGAGGAGCTGTGAGAGTGAGTGAGTGATCCCTTTGGTGGCATCCAAAAGAAATTCCCATAAGCACTTTTGACAGAGGCCAATACGTCGGGTCGTACTGAGCAATCCTCGGTTGAAACAGGAGAGCGAAATCTGTGGACAACATGACCATCTTGACCATCAGCCCGCTCACCTCCTCCCATCCCTCCATCCCTCTCCATCCCCATCCCTTCACCTCCTCCCATCCCTCCATCTGACCTGACCACCTCCCTCTCCCCTCATCTTCTCTGTCTCTCTGATGTCAGCTTTAAAGACCCTCCTCTCTCCCCCTCTCTTCCTCTCACTCTCTTTACCATCTCTCTCTACCCCCCCCCCCCCCCCCACCCCCCCCCCACTGTCGTTTTACATTCATTTGTAGCAGCCAGAGGGTTACAAAAATATAGATCACTTTCAGTGAGTGTGCCTTTTTCTCCTCTATCATTTGTATTGTCCTTATAACCCTGGCAGGCTGCACCCAGAGACTTGTGTATGAAGAGTTGAGCAGGCTAGTCCTTCACAGTGCACCTTACCTGTGGTGTCCATACACTGTCCATATCCATGATATATATCAGTGAGTGGCTCTCCACTGGCTGCTGCTGTTGTTGATGATGTTGCTGGTGATGATGATGATGATGATGATGATGGATGATGATGATGATGATGATGATGGATGATGATGATGTTGTTGTTGGTGATGATGATGAGGATGATGATGATATTGATGATGATGATCTTGATGATGATGTTGTTGATGATGATGAGGATGATGAGCATTCTGAGTACTCTGCACAGCCACATGGGATGGCAGATGGAATGGAAACATCCAGACAGAGAAATTATGTATCAGACACTCAAACAAAAACAGACACATGGAGACATAGTCACTTTACCCCTATCTACATGTACATATTACCTTAATTACCTCGACTAACCTGTACCCCCGCACATTGACTCTGTACCCCCTGTATATAGCCTCGTTATTGTTATTTTATTGTTACTTTCTTTTTACTTTAGTTTATTTAGTAAATATTTTCTTAACTCTTATTTTTCTTAAAACTGCATTGTTGGTTAAGGGCTTGTAAGTAAGCATTTCACGGTAAGGTCATGTGACAAATAACATTTGATTTAATTTGATTTGAGGGTGAGTTGAGGTGGAGGGATAGAATATTACATGTAGATACTTTAACTGTTCACAAACACACACACACACACACACACACACACACACACACACACACACACACACACACACACACACACACACACACACACACACACACACACAAACACACACACACACACACACACACACACACACACACACACACACACACAAACACACACACACACACACACAAACACACACACAAACACACACACAACACACACACACACACACCCACACACACACAACACACACACACACACACACACACACACACACACACACACACACACACACACACACACACAGCTCATTACATCAGATTCCTCTTCCATCTATATCACTCTCTCTCTGCCCATCCCTTTCTCCTCATCACTGCGACAACCACCTTTCAATTATTGGTCTCTGAGGAAACAGTAATTAGTATGGGCATGGTTTTGCATACGATTAATGCAGCCCCCTTAATTAACACCCACCTCGCTGATCTCCTGTCTCACTAAACACACACACACATGTGCATGGATGCATACACACACACACACACACTAGCCTACTTGTGCTTCATTGCCAGATGATAATAGGCTGACCTCTGTTGGGTCAGGGCCAGGGAATGAGGCATTTTAAATCAACAGATTGTGCAAACTCACACAGGGTCAAGGACTCAGGAGATTAAAGTAGTACTTTTAAGTAGTCTCTTTTAAGAAGTCTCTTTTATGTGTGTGTTTGTGTGAGTGTGTGTGTGTGTGTGTGCATTCGTATGTACGTGCTTGTGTGTGTGTGTGTATGTGTGTATGTGTGGGTGTGTGTCTATGTGTGTGTTAATAGCATTGAGAGACAGAAGGCGACAGACTAAATGACCGTGAAGCATATGGTTTAGACAGAGGTGTCAGACCCTACTGGCTATAGCACCGTATAATAACACCAGACACACACAGGTATGTATCGAACACAAAGCCAATAGGTGTCAGTGATGTGGGGTGGTTAAGGACAGCAGTAGGGCTGTGGGATCTCACCGCTATAAGCCTCTTAGCACTGCTGGGATAATACAGCAACACAGGACAAAACCGACAGCCACGACCCACACCGTCTGATTACGACTGTACAGTGTGTGTGTGTGTGTGTGTTTGTGTGTGTGTGTGTGTGTGTTCTGCAGTGTGAGCTAGGAGAGACCAGTGGGAGTATAGGAGGAAGGGGGCAGATTTTGGCTATAGTAGCAATTTCTACACAGACAGTGAGGCACCCTCCCTACAGTTAGAATTGGGTTTTTTAGACAGGTGTCAGAGATGGAGTAGTTGTAGCAGGTGTAGAATAGCTACTATACTGGTTATGAGGATAGAGTTATTAGCTAATGAAACAGAGAGATGTTTAACTACCATGTTTAATAAGATCATAAAAGGACATGGAGAGTTCTGTTGCATCCTGACAATGGTCAAGGTCAACTTGAATGACACACACACAAAGGCGTGTACACACATACACACACACACACACACACTCGCTCTCTTACCAATCTGTTTTGTTCTAGTATTGTCAGATCATGTTTGTTCATTCACCAGCAGACCACAGCCAGCCATGCATCACCAAGACACCACACTGCATGCAATGCACACACATACACCTGCCACCACACTGCATGCAACCAGCACCTAGCACAGAGCAAACCCCACCCAAACCCACTCCTATCCACATACACAGCGACTCCACCCAGCACCACCACAAAGCCACACCACAGGGTATCCACAGGACACACCATAGCACCACGGGGGACACAAGGGGGGGACAGGCACACACAGCTGGACTCACTGGGTGTCTCTTGGGGACGTCATATACCCCCTCCTTCTGTTGGCTGGTCGGAACCTGGACAATCAACCAATCACCACACAGCCCACCAACCACACGTTAGCTTTTGTTACCACGACAACCTTCATTTTTAATGTACCAAAAAGTACCAATCGTAGTAAATACCAAAGCAACACAAGACTATAAAATAAAGCCTTACAGACAAATATATAGAGACTAAAGCCTGGACATTATTGTCCCTTATAGCTTGCATCTGAGGGTGTGTGTGCGTGTGTGTGTGCGTATGTGCGTGTGTGTGTGCGTGCGTTCGTGCGAGAGAGAGAGAATGAGTGATGTAATCTGTATTCAAATCTATGAGTTGAGGCTTCATTTAGTCTATCAGTCTGATGTATGAGCAGCTCTCTCTCTCTCCCCTTCTCTCTCTCCAATAAAGTGGATCAATGTGCTCTTATCACAGAGAGAGACATGTAATAAACTGGTGTGTCTGTCTGTCTTTCTGTGGCTATGTCTCAAATGACACCATATTCCTCATGTTGTGCACTACTTTTGGCCAAACCCTGTGGATTAGGGTCTTTTGAGACAAAGTCACAGAGAGAGAGAGAGAGAGAGAGAGACAGACAGACTGTCACACCCTGATCTGTTCCACCTGTCTTTGTGATTGTCTCCACCCCCCTCCAGGTGTCGCCCATCTTCCCCATTATCCCCTGTGTATTTATACCTGTGTTCTCTGTTTGTCTGTTGCGGTTCGTCTCGTCAAGCCTACCAGCGTGTTTTTCGTACTCCTGTTTTCAAGTTTTCCCAGTTTTGATCATTCTTCCTGCCCTGACCCTGAGCCTGCCTGCCGTTCTGTACCGTTTGACACTGCCCTGGATTACTGACCTCTTCCTGCCCTGACCCTGAGCCTGCCTGCCGTTCTGTACCGTTTGACACTGCCCTGGACTACTGACCTCTTCCTGCCCTGACCCTGAGCCTGCATGCCGCTCTGTACCTTACGGACTCTGCCCTGGACCTCCGACCTCTGCCTGCCCTTGACCTGTCCTTTGCCTGCCCCCTGTTTGTATAATAAACGTCCGTTATTCGAACTGTCTGCATCTGGGTCTTTTCCTGAGCTGTGATACAGACAGATTGATACAGGACAACGTCTCTATATGTTTTGTTCTATTGACTGATGATTGATTGTCCCTGCGATGTCAGACTATCAAATTAATCCACCTGATTGATCTGTTGTGAATGGAAATGTCAATAAAAACCTGATGGGACAAAAACGTCTGTCATAACAGTCTGACTACCAACACCTGAGTACTCTCTCCATCTCTCCTTCCTCCATCTCTCCTCCATCTTTCCTAATCCCTCTCTCTCTTCTCTAGTTCTCTTGTTTATTTCCTCTCTCATCCTTCTTCATCTCTCCATCTCTCTGGTTGTTTATTTCCAGAGGCAGATCTTTATTCATCTGTTGGTTCCTCTGTGGCACAATTCTAACACGCCTTTTTGCGTGTGTGTGTTAGATCGAGCTCTATTTTCATTCTATTATTTTTAAAGATCAAACGAGAGCCTGGTGTTGAATCTTTCTTTCCCTCTTTCATCTCCTCAGAAAGAGGGGGAAGGACGAGGGGTCTGCTTACTCATGCATGTGTGTTAATGTTTCTCTCAGGTTTCAGTGGTGTGTCTGTCAGTAGTGAAGCGGTTGGTGAGGGGCCGTTCCACCTCGAACAACAACAAATAGGATTTTGACACCCACCATCTCAGATTGCTCTGAATTTCTTTCTGTTAGAAACAGATAAGATTAGCATTCCTGCAACATTATTTTGTTGAAATATAATTTGATCTCTGAGAAATTAAGCTAATTGATACATTTATAGGATTCATATAATATTTATAAATATAGTACCTAACATCCGATTTGGACCAAACCTTTTTCTAACAATGAGTTAGACATCCAAAGAAATGGTCAAAAGCCACCCACGGACATCCCACATCCCACGCCAATCCCACCCCAACAACGAATATATTGTAACAGTTCTCTATGTCTGACAAGTAGTATGGAGCTGCGGCTCTGCGTATTGTTTCTTCATCCTATGTAATGTATTCTCAGTGAATTTCGTTATGTTTTTTTCCCTTGTTCAGAGAAATTGGTAATTGAAGTTAGGTTTATGTCCCATCCTACATCCTGATATTACCAAGTTCTGACCACTAGATGGTGCTGTTGCAATGCAAGTCAATGGTAGCTATATTTTAGCATTTCCACGCTTCATATCCAAATCATCATAAAGCATAAAAAAATTGATTGTGTAACTCAATGACATTACTTATAGATGATTTGGATATGAAGCGCGAAAATGCTAATATAGGTAGCATTAACTTACATTTGATTTTTTTTTTCATCACCTAATAGCAGGAACAGCACCATATAGTGGTTAGAACCTGGTAATATCAAGATGTAAGATGGGACATAAACCTAACAATTTCAATGACTAATTTCTCTGAACAGGGGAAAAGAAACACCATGAAATGTACTGAGAATACATTACATTGGATCAAGAAATAATACTCTGAGCCGCAGCTCCATAATACTTGTCAGACATAAACAACTGATACTATATACTCGTTGTTGGGGTGGGATTGGCGTGGGGTGTGGGGGGGTCCATGGGTGACTTTTGACAATTTATTTGGATTCCTCATGTCTTACTCATTGTTAGAATAAGTGTGGCCCAAATTGGATGATAGGTACTATATTTATTTAATATTATATCAATGCTATAAATTAAAATGGCCAATTTGGGTGCAAACAAATACCTTAATTTCTCAGAGATTTCAGTACAATCTGAGATGATGGGTGTCATGGCTTGTTGAAATGACATGGAACGACCCTGAGGCTATTCTCAAATAATCTCTATTCCCATTGGAACCCTGCTCCTATCACCAACACAACTCCACCAATCAGATCCAAGCAGAGGAGAGAGGCTTGTACCTGATAAATGCTCTCTTCTGATTGGTCGCGGATGGGCTCGTGTCCCGCCTCAAACACAATGTACTACAACACAGGCAGCAGGGAGAGGAGAGGAGGAATAAAGAAACAAATATGACATAGGAATAGAAGAAAAAGGACAGGCTCAGAATATGATGCAAAGATGTGATTGGTCAAACAGAATCATCTGTAGGTCCCGCCCCCAAGCAATCCCAGAAAACTTCACACATACACGCACGCACACACACTCACATACACACACACAGACAACTCCATTCATCTGACAAGAATCCTGGGACTCCCCCACAATCCCCTACAGACACAGATAAACAGGCAAGGAGATTGAAAGATTGCAAGAAGCATTAGAGAGAAACATACTGATTGGATAGAACAGCATTAGAGAAGCATTTTGATTGGTGTTTGGAAGTTACCTGGTAGACCGGATCCTCCAAATCTTCCTCCAGAATAGTCTGAAGACAGAGGGACAGATGGAGAGGGGGAAGAAAGGAGAGAGGGGAGGAGGAGAGTAGAGAGGGAAGAGGAGATGGAAGCAGATCAGTGTAGTTGACAGATAGAGGCAGCAGCACCAATAATAATCAGATAGTAAACATTGTGTGTATTGTGTGTGTGTGTACCTGGTACACAGCCTGTTCACACTGTTTGTCCTTCTGGGCTTTCTTCTCCATCTCCTCTCTCTGTTTGATCTGATAGATGAGCTGGAACAGGTCCCGGAGGTCCAGGATCACTGGCTCTGCCTGGGAGGGGGAGAGGAAGTAGAACATTGTTATATAGCTCTGTGGTTAACACAACACACACGCAAGCACGCAAGCATGCACATATACAGGCAGACACACTCTCACACACACATACACAAGCATGCGCGCACACACACGTACGCACACACATGTGATGCTTTAGTTTCACTATGAACAGCTTCAGAGCAGAGAGCTGGGGATTCTAAGGGAACAATTAAATATAGAACATGTTTAATATTTGATTGAGGTCTAACAGGGAGTTCACAGACAGTGTTTGGAGAACTACAAGGACATCACCAGTATAGTGTTGGGTTCCAACTTGTTCCTACTTCCTACCACGTCTGAACTCTGATAGAGTCTTACTTAAATCATGTAATTTGTCTGACCTCTCCCTCCTCTCATTCATACCATCTCTCATCCCTTTCTCTTCTCTGTCTTTCGTCATCTCTTTCTTTCCTCTCTCTGTCATCACTTTCTCTGTTCCCTCTATCGTCTCTCTCTCCTCTCTCTGTATAATGAGGAGTGGACAGAGAGACAGCTCTGTCTTGTCGTCTCTGTATTCTCAGAAAACACTACAGGTACTGAACTCTTTGCAACCTCAGGAATACATGGCAGCTTGCTGGGTTGTGTGTGTCACAGGACTCCAGGTCAGTTCCTGGGAGGATGGATGGGTTGTTAGAGACAGTTACACACACTCACACACTCATCGAGTGGCTATGGGAAATCAATATGGCATCAGAGAGCAGAGAGAGAGCCTCAGATGAAACACAGACAAAACACAGACACACAGACACAGATAATCTCGGTTACACCAGAAGTAAAATCCAGCGTAATTTGGTCAGCTGCGTGATTAACTTCTGGGTCTACACGTGTTTGAAATTGAGAGTTTCGGCGGTTTATGAAGTCTAAACCCTCGCAAAAGAAAACTCTCAGCCAAAGTTTGATGCGGTCAAGACAGGTACTATGTAATCAGATGAGATGATAAATAACTAGCAATAAGTTAGTCTACCAGCGTGAGTCGACTTGGTTGCTATCTCTCTCCCCCTTAGTGATGTGCAGTTCGCAAACGATTCCTTGTTTTTGAACAACTCTTTTTACTGACTCGAGAGTCATGACTCGTTCATTTTAGTCGTTCATTTGACCTGCTGGCCACAATTAATTTTACAGCAGGATTAATACGCGCTCCCCCTCCTCACCGGCTCCGGACACGTGCTCCAACTTCCAACTGTCTATCATGTGCGCACAGACATAGACCATGCTACAGGCAGCATAGAGAAGAAGATACTGTATACCCGCTAATAAAGGACTTTTAAAGGCCCAGTGCACTACTTTTGTGAGAATATATGTTTTTTCATTTGGATTATTCAGGGGGTGCTGCAGCACACTCAGCACCCCTACTTCCCACGGCTATGGCTGCTGCAGTTCAGAAATTATATATGCTTATCTCCCTCACAGCAGTCGAGTCATTCTGCCAAGAATCGTTCGCAAATCTAGTACGGTTGCGGCTGCAACTAGACTTTCAAATGTATCAATAGATAATCTCATTTGTTTCGCTAGCAATCACAAATGTACATCGTTTAAAGCACACTTTTATAAGTCTCAGTCACAAATGACTCCAATTGACCCCCTATGGTGAACGAAAATCATGACTCTTTCAAGTTTTCAGTTCATTGTTCACTGGTAGAGGTCCTGTGTGCTTTGGGCATTACTGAATTAAATGAATTAAATGAGTCGAAAGATTAAACATTTTACTGAACGAGTTGAAAAGATTTGAGTCAGTAAAAAGAACCGAAACTCACATCACTACTCCCCTTCCATGCTCCCCTCATCACACCGCACGGCCCCTCCCTGCTCCCCTCATCACACCGCACGGCCCCTCCCTGCTCCCCTCATCACACCGCACGGCCCCTCCCTGCTCCCCTCAACACAACCCGCACGGCTCCCCCGCTCTTGCTCCTCCCTCACACACCGCACGGCCCCTCCCTGCTCCCCTCAACACACCGCACGGCCCCTCCCTGCTCCCCTCAACACACCGCACGGCCCCTCCCTGCTCCCCTCACACGCACGGCCCTCCCTGCTCCCCTCACACACCGCACGGCCCCTCCCTGCTCCCCTCACACACCAGCCCCCCCCAACACCGCACGGCCCCTCCCTGCTCCCCATCAACACACGCACGGCCCCTCCCTGCTCCCCTCAACACACCGCACGGCCCTCCGCTCCCTCACCCGCTCCCCTCAATCAACACCGCACGGCCCTCCTGCTCCCCATCACAACACCGCACGGCCCTCCCTGCTCCCTCATCACTACACGCTCCTGTCTCACACACTGCACGGCCCCTCCCTGTCCACATCAGTACAACCCCTCCACTAGTACAACGCACGTCCCCTCCCTGCTCCCCTCATAACACGCATGGCCCCTCCCTGCTCCCCTATCACTCGATGCACACTGCACGGCCCCTCCCTGCTCCCCTCATCACTCACAGATGCACACTGCACGGCCCCTCCCTGCTCCCCTCATCACTCACAGATGCACACCGCACGGCAACCCCTCTGCTACCATCATCACTCACAGATGCACACTGCACGGCCCCTCCCTGCAAAATCAGACAACCCCATAGTATAATAGTTTACCTATTTACCTAGTAATTTACATTCAGTGGTGACCCGTCATTCAGGGCAGGTGTGGCAGAGCCCCACCTGTTTTAAGCCCTACCTGTTTAGCTAAAAAATAAATGGGGACACTACGTCACCACAGAATCTTCAGGGAGAGCTAGCCAGTTCAAGCCCCGTTGGGTGCTGCCATAGATTTACATTAGAAGTGCCTGTCGAAAAAGGCTCAAGGTCATTGGCCACAGGTAAAATGACGTAAAATCACGTTATATTTACCTTAGCTTTGATTGGACTGATCATGTCAACATCATATTTTCAAAATCTTAGCTAGCAAGCTAAGAAGCTAGACAAGCAGTTATCATCATGAATCATGTTGACAATCTACTGGCAAATCCTTTTCAATTCTTGTCATTTGAAGAAAAATGATAGATAAAACATCTCGGTGCTCATTGGCCATTAACATTACACAAATCGGGAATCGCAAATTCAACAATGAGTGGTTTGGAAGGAATCAGTGGCTAACTGCGATGCAAAGTAATCACTATTTTGCTTCCCTGCCTGCTATTCGGTGGAGAGGGTGTGTGGTCCAAGTCTGGGTTTAAGGATTTAAAACATTTGTCTGAAAGGGTCTCTTTTACAAGCATAACAGGATAAACATTCACACGCAACACCATGGGCCAGAAAAGGTTGAATACATTGGCCATGCTGTCAATCCAGCATGACTTCTGCCGGGTTCAAAACAACTGGGAACACAGAACTTGGAACTGTGAAATCTCAGACTTCGGTGCGTTCAAGACAACTGGGAACTCTGAGCTCAGACTGGGAAAATACACTTTGAACGGTCATCCAACTCGGTATTCCAAGTCGGGAACTCGGTCTGGTGTCTTTCTAGAGCGCCGACTTTCCGACCTGAAGATCACTGACATCATGATTCAACCTCGTTTTTTCAGAGTTCCCAGTTGTCTTGAAAGCGCCATAAATCCAGAGAATGCCAGACGAAAAATAGGCCTAAGTCTTGTATGCTGCTGCATAAATGATATAATATGCCAGGGATATATGTATACTGTAGCTAAGAAAGTAATACTAAGTGTATGTTATGTAGTAAGCTGTTAGTAGTCCATGTGTCTCACCCTAATAATTTGGTCCCTTTTCCCCTCATATCTTAGTCTACTGTTCTGACTTGGTGGTGCACATGTAGCCTATAGCCAGTTTTAGAGAAATGTCATCATCGAATATTGTAAAAGCTTTCATTGTCTGCTTATATGCCCCCTTTATTTATCCTACGTTTCTGACTTGGTGTACAGGGAGAATACTGTAAGAATGGCCCATGTTCTGAATTATGTCGCTGTCCATTTCAAAAGTCCTGAGCAAATAGGCATATCGTCCGTCTGAGTTCGCTCATTGTCTTAATCGAAATTACGGCTTGCCTCTTATCCGCTCATCGTTCCCTTATGCCATAGTCTGTACATCTTAATTGTTATATTGTTCATATACACTACCGGTCAAAAGTTTTAGAACACCTACTCATTCAAGGGTTTTTCTTTATTTTTACTATTTTCTACATTGTAGAATAACAGTGAAGACATAAAAACTATGAAATAACACATGGAATCATGTAGTAACCAAAAAAGTGTTAAACAAATCAAAATATATTTTATATTTGAGACTCTTCAAATAGCCACCCTTTGCCTTGATGACAGTTTTGCACACTCTTGGCATTCTCTCAACCAGCTTCACCTGGAATGCTTTTCCAACAGTCTTGAAGGAGTTCTCACATATGCTGAGCACTTGTTGGCTGCTTTTCCTTCACTCTGCGGTCCGACTCATCCCAAACCATCTCAATTTGGTTGAGGTCGGGGGATTGTGGAGGCCAGGTCATCTGATGCAGCACTCCATCACTCTCCTTCTTGGTAAAATAGCCCTTGCACAGCCTGGAGGTGTGTTGGGTCATTGTCCTGTTGAAAAACAAATGATAGTCCCACTAAGCCCAAACCAGATGGGATGGCGTATCGCTGCAGAATGCTGTGGTAGCCATGCTGGTTAAGTGTGCCTTGAATTCTAAATAAATCACAGACAGTGTCACCAACAAAGCACCCGCACACCATAACACCTCCTCCTCCTCCATGCTTTATGGTGGGAAATACACACGCGGAGATCATCCATTCACCCACACGCGTCTCACAAAGACACGGCGGTTGGAACCAAAAACCTCAAATTTGGACTCCAGACCAAAGGACACATTTCCAGCGGTCTAATGTCCATTGCTCGTGTTTCTTGGCCCAAGCAAGTCTCTTCTACTTATTGGTGTCCTTTAGTAGTGGT